GAAATCAGTGTCACTGGCGGGAGTCATCACCACACAAACGGTGACCCAGGGGTGAATCGGGGAAGCCAAGTTCAGTTCAATGTTAGGAATCAGAGCCAGTCACTTGAGTGGCTCTTGCTCTGAAAGGACAGTGCATAACCATCTGTTCTGGGGAGAAACACCCCATTTCAGAGCTCACCTCTACAACGGGGCCAGAAGGAGTTGGGTGGCCAGCAGACGGCAGTCTCCGTGAATGGGCCCCCGCCCAGCCTCCCTCCACGTGCTCCCCTCGCCCACTCAGACATGAGAGGGTGCTGTTGGCGGAACGAGGGCCTTCGGATAGTGCAAGAGTAACAACCAAACGGCCCGGTGGGAGTCGGGCCGCCTTCGGTGCCCAGGACGCACCTCTCCGACGCGGGGCAGGCCTGCCGGTGTTCGCAATGCCGTCTGCGGTCTGTACTCAGGGAAGTGGGGTTGGGGGTCTTAGCCTGTTTGGCAAGCCCCCAGCCCAGATGGGGCTCTGTGATGACTTCTATCTACAAGGTGTTTAATCAGATCCTAGGAGGGCATGCGACTCCATGGTTAATTATTCCAATGCGAGGCGTGTTCAGCTGCATTCTGCTCTGTTTGCTGTCAGTGGTCACGGTCCTGGGGAAGGGGGCAGGACCCTGCTGCCCAGGCCCAGTTTATGCTGCACACAGAGACAGGAGACTCCGGGGCTGGGTGAGTCCACTGGGTAATTCACTGAGATGCCCCCACTGATGCCCCCTCTGCGCATGGCCTTCCTTCCTCAGGAGGCTGGCGGGGCAGCGCATTTTAAAGCGACGGACACGCTGACACCAGTGCCCACGGGCTGATCTGATGGACGGGTCTGGGTGGCCAGGACACAGCCATCCAGCCCTTAACCGTGTCCTCTGATAACCAGCTAGTCCAGCCCCAGAGGACATTTGCATGTCAAAAGGGGCTGGTTATTTCTCACTTGCTCTTTCGCAAAACCAAGCTGCTCTGCACATCTTTGGTGGGTCTGGTGTCAGGGAGGGAAGAGAGGTCAGTCGTTTTCAGTCTGCAGATGCTAATAGTGGTACCGAAGCTTTGTAAGGATTTAGGGGGGTGATGCATTTTCTGATATTAGGGGAGGGCGTATAAAAGACTTTTTAAATAGAAACTTGGAAGTCCCCAAATCTTCTATGTGAAAATGTAAGAATGTCATCTTTGTAGTTGATGCTCATTTAAACCTTTTATGAAATGCATGGAGACTTTCTTTGTGCCTAATCCCTATTATCCGAAGTCAAGAAGCTTGGTCTTTGGGTTAATTCAGAGGTCACCGGTCAGAAACTTAATGCATTCCTCGGGTCTCGGCAGGATCCTTTCCATCTTCCTCTGGTGGGGCAATGCATGCACCCTGGCCTCCTGCCTGCGTCCAACCTTGTGCTGAAGCGAACCCGGTCAACCCTACTCTCTTTCCCGCTGGTATGTCGTGAGCCCGAACTGTGTACCGTGACCCATAGGGGAATGGTTTTATGTGTACATACAAAATCCATGACTGGAACTTCCTGTTTCTTACTAACCAAAGCAAAGCGCCTATAAAAACCATCACCACCTCCCACTCCAACTAGGAAATTCCGAAGAATGCTGGCTTGATTTGGGAGTGTCTGAGATGGCTGAGCAGCCTCTGGGAGTGGGGACCAACAGTGGTGGTGGCCTTTGTCCCTTAGAGAGGTTTGCGCAGACACATTCCACGGTGACGGAGACGGCAGGGGATGGCTTTGCCACAGGCGGTGGCTTGTCGTTGGCGACATACATACCTTTCTTCTTGGTGATGAGAGAATTCATGGGTTGGTCAGTTTAAATTTCATGTCAGTTTCCTCTTTAAACTGGACTTCCAGGTCTCTCAGGTGGATATTTTACATAAAAAGCAAGTGGTTTTAACATTCAAGCAATCCATTACCGACCACAGCGCTAGTTCTTTGTGAAGGATCCACCAAGAGCATTAATCTGTCTTTTTACAGGTATCCCTTTGATCTTCAGTTCTACAGACGAGAAGCTACGGTTTACAGCCTCCCAGGTCTGACGATGACTCCTCGTGAATGATATACAGGGTCGACACTAATAACACCCCTTTTTACTATAAAACCTTTTATTACAAAATCGTAAGCATGTAATTCTGTACCATAACATTATCACACTCAAGCACACTCTATGACATTTTAGGTGAAATGATCAAATTAAAACTAAATTATCACACTCTCATTATTATCCTACCAACTGTGCTCAAGCAGGCCTGCCTTCTGCCACACCCTGTGGCATCAGGTCGTGCCTTTGAACGACACGGCTGCACAGTGGGACCCAGGCATTCCGGAAGGTAAGCTGTGGCATGAGTGGAGGCAGGGTCGGATTGCACACCTTCCCCTACACGTAACTCCTTCTTTTAGAGATAAGCGTGTCCTCTGACACAGAGAATAGCAAGATAAAAGCCTCTAGTGTGTGAATTAACTTTGTCAGATCACTACATGGTTAGAACAAAGCTGCCTGGCTTCCCTCTAAAATAAAAACAATGATTTTCACTGGATACATTCCAGTATTTGGTTTGCAGGCACCATGTCCTCACAGAGTCGGCGACTTGCATTGTGACGAGGGCATCTGTGACCAAGGGCTCGGCGGGACGGCAGGTAGCTCCGCCACATACAGTGTGGGAGCCTGCCAGGGCTTTTCTCCGGCTTGGTGGTGACCGGAAACATCCGGCTGAGAACAAGCTGACCGGGCCAGAATCGTCCGGCTGTGTTCTTTGGCATGGCCCTTTGGAGACTGCCTGGGGAGATGATTTATGGTTTGGCTTGTGCAGACGGAGAAGTATTTCTTCAAGAAAAAAATACTCCCTGGTCTTATCCGCAGGTCTGTCTGCATGAAGAAGGCGGAGGGCTCTCCATTCAGCCAGATGGTGGTCGGATTCCTTCTTTTCTCTGAGCAACACCCCCAACTACCTGCTCAGTTGCCCCGGAAGCAAATGTCTCCGCCTCGGACCGACGAGAGCTGCTCCCCAAGCCTCGCCAGGGAGGTGAGTGGCCAGTGGTCAGGCTCCCACTGAAGGCCAGACAGGCTCCCAGAAACCTGCCTGATGACCAGTCAGCTCGGCCATGGCCCCCGAGTTCGGGGCTCACCCGTGACTCAGCCAACAGCGGTTCTGCGGGCTCTACCTACAGAGAAGTTTTTTAAAAAGCCTCACCTGAGGGCATGTTCTTACTGATTTCAGGGAAAGAGGGAGGGAGGGGGAGAGAGGGAGAGAGAGATGGAGAAACATCGATGGGTTGCCTCTGGTACAGACCCCGAGCAGGGACTGGATCAGCAACCTAGGTACATGCTCTGACCAGGAATCAAACCTGCAGCCTTTCAGTATACAGGGCGATGCCCAGACCAGGCCACAGCGGCCAGGGAGACAAGTAACAGTTTAGGCGACCCACCCCCCTTCCCCCGATCTTCTTCACCACACGGTCATCTGCTGTCTCTAGCCTGGATGGTCTTCCTTTCCCACTTTTATCCCAGAGGTTGCCCCACGAGGCTGGTGGGAGGCCTGCAAGCCAAGAATGGCTCTTCCAGCTTTAAAGGCAGAAACTTGGAATTTAAAAACATGCAGCAGAGACAGTGTGCGACTCCCAAAATATTCCCTGTGCCGTCTGCCGGGCAGCTTGCAGACGCGTCCTCACTGACCTTCTCCTTTAGAGTTAGAACAGTCCCCTAAAACACAGGTCCTAACACACTGATCTCCCGCTCCAGCAGCTGCCTCCCCCTTACAATGACGCGCAGACGGCCCCGCGACCTGCAGGCCGCCCGTGAGCTGGCCCCGACCCATCTCTCCCAACTCTCTCCCCATCGCCAGGCAGGTGTCCTTCCACAGCCTCCACCCCCAGGCACTGGTCCCGGGAAACTTCTCCCCCAGCCCCGGGGCCCACCCCTCCTCCACGCCAGGCCTCCGATGCCCAGAGGTGTCCGAGTGCACCGTCTCCATGGCAGTTGCTCATCCACAGGGGGACTGAGTGCAGGCACCGTCCCATTGGGCTGCTGGGACAGCAGCAGCCTCAGACCAGCCCCTGCCCACAGTGACCACGCAATGTCACGGAGACGCCACTAGTCAAAGGAGCCCCTCTCAGGCCTGTCACATATTGCAATGTCTTCCTGTCTCTGTCGCCACCTGGAACTGTGGGCCCAGCTGGTCTTTGTCACCGTTGGCTCTTCTGCTCCGAGTGCTGGGCCTGGCGTGCAGGGACAGGAAGGGAAGGCAGGGGAAGGCGAGGGCCACCGGGCCCAGTCTCCGACTCCCTGGGGACCCCGCTGCTGAGTGCATTTTGAGGGGGGGGATCGCCTACATCTTTCTGAGAAGCAGCCTTACACAGCCTTGCACCAAGACCCCTGGGGGACAGTCTGGGTATCTTTCAGTCAGCCCCCTCTTGTGCAACCCCCCCCGGGGAGGAACCGCTCTCGGGGTAAACTCGGGAATCACTTTGCCTCCTTAGGGTTCTTGACAGGGTTCCGGTCCTCAGGAGGGTGAGGACCTCGCACCGGAGTGTGGCTCCCCACCCCGTGGCCGCGTTCCAAGTCTTCTTTCTGCCGTACATCTGATTCAAAGGTGCGGCTTGCCCCTTCCTGGGGGTTTTTCAAACTCCTACAACTTTATTGTATTGGGTACTACTTACAAAATTCTAATTTTTAAAATGACAAAAGGCGTTTTTAGTGTGTCACTTCCCCTGGGCCTCAGTTTTCCGAGCTGTGCAATGGGCACGCCCACCACTCCTCTGTGAGGATGTTGCCAGGGCGAGGTGAGACGGATGGGAAGGTCAGGGCGTGACGTCGGGCACGTCGGAGCTGCCGGTAAGTACGGGCTGCTTTTCAAAGTCAGCCCGAGGCTGTGCAAGGCGGCCGAGCAGCACTCAGTAACGACCCTAAGTGACGCGAAGTGAATCCACACACCCCGGGGCTGCTGACACGTCAGACCACAAAAATCCACACTCACTTGGCCACACCGTTACTTACGTGGACTCTTTTAAACATTTATTAAAAAAGCAAAATGTACGTTCGGTTCAAAAAGAACAGTTAAAAATGGTAAAGCAACACGAAGACCTCGTCTCTAGCAGCATCTGGGTGTTACGACAGCATTCCCGCCCTGCGCCTCCGGCTCACCGGGCCGGCCGGCCCAGCCCCGCCCCTCCCAGCTTGCGGCTTCCCACGCCTCTCTGTCGTGGCGCAGGTCACAGCACGTTTATAAAGTTAACGATTTAGGGTTAAATAAGCTTAAATAAGGGTGTTAAATACAGGACACTTCCTCCGAGCCTCTGTACAAAGGTCATTTGGCGTGGTGCACGTGACCCGCGGGCTGGCCACCGGCGCGCAGGAGGGTCCCGGCAGGGGAGCAGCCTTCTCTCCGGAGGAGCGCTGACCACACGAACGTGAGCTAAGACTGAAGTGACTACCGAGTGAGCCATGTACAAGGCATAAGTATCTTTTTTTTTTTAATGAGAACACTGTTAATATTCAGGCACCGTTTGCTTCTGCAAATAAATAAGCCTCTACAGTAACTGCATTCGCACTAGAGTTAAGCACGTCAGTGCCCTGCGGTCCGCGACGCGGCGTCTCTGACGCTGGGCCACGCCCCATTCTTATTGCTAGGATAATGTGGCTGTGGAGATAAAACTACTGTACATCCAGAAAAATAGAGCACCTTTACATTACAGTATATGTCTGATTATTGGGTTTCGGGTTTATTTTACAACGCTAAAGCCCAGACTACGGTGAGCTGCTTGAACGTCTCTACCAGGTCACCTGATACCCAGGAAGTAAAACCCTTCGTGCTGGAGCACTGCTTAGTAGCGTCTACGGGAAAGGTCTACACGGACACCGGGGTTACATTCATCTCGACACGGGAGTTACATTCATCTTCACGCTGGCGCTCCCTCCGCTCACTTGGCGCCCCCGAGAAAGCGCGCGGTCCCCGCCTGCTGGGGGCGCCGGTGCTGACGGGGCGGGGCAGCCAAGACCTCGGGACTAGCCGCGCCCACGCACCAGCACCAGCCGCTTCCCCCATGCGGCCCCTCCGTGGGGACAGCCCCTCGAGGCGGGCGGCCCGGCTAGGACTTTTTGTCGATGGTGTTGAAGAACCACTCGGTGAACTTGCGCAGCTGGGCGGCGGCCGTCTGGGACTCCTCCTGCAGCCGCCGGTTGTCCTGTCGCAGGTGCTGCACCTCGGCCTGCAGGACCGCCTTGTCCTGCTTCTCCTGCGAGGGCAGAAACAGGCGCGTCACTGGGCACGTGGATGCGGCCTGAGTCCTCCCCCTTACTCCCTGCGTCTGCGCCCCCCCGCACCGAGCGGTGGGTAAACCAGTCGGCACAACCCTGCAGCTCAGCCCACGTGGCTCCCGATGGGAGTCAGGGTGGCTGTGACGTAGAAAGGTTCCGATCACGGTTTAGATTGCCCTCCATCCGGAACTGGGGGCTGATGACAGTTTACAAGCAATGTCCTTGGACTGAAGGCACAGCTCTGGCCGAACTCCCTAACCGCCCCAAACCGGTGCGGATGCAGCTGCTGGTCCCGGGCGTGTCCGTAATGGAACGAGCACTCGGGCCGCCCAGCACACCTCAGAGCTGCCCACCCCGGTGCGCTCCCAGCGATGACCTCCAGAGGCGGCCATTGAAAAGTATTTAGGAGTAATCAAGATTTTTCAGAAGAATTGCACCTGGAGTTTCCAATACACAGTGACAAAACATGCACAACGATAGCTTTAGTTCCCAAAAGCTCCAAGGGACGTCTTGCGCCCGAGAGAAGGGCACTGTCGGTCGTAACCGCTGCTTTTGGGGGGGATCTGACCTGACCGCTCCGTCAGCAGGCGCCACTGCAGCCTGCGTGTGGGCAGGGGTGTGGGGGAGCCGGCGGCAGTGGCCTCTTCGGGACACTCTCTGCGCCCTTGGCTGTCCAGCACTGCCCTCGCCTCCGTTTCCTGCCTTCCCCCCCCCCCCAGCTGACGACCACCTGCCCCACCACTGCACTAGAAGACCCCCGCCAGGAGGGGAGGTTTCCCTTAGAGCCGACTCCCCCCGCCCCCGGGGACCAACCTCAGTCCACCCGCGCCCTCGCTCTCAGTCCCTGCCAGAGAGAGGGTCACGCGCCCTTGCTCCCCATCTCGGGGCCTCCCCTTCCCAGCAGAGTCAGGACGCCCCTGCGTGCCTGCCGTGACTCAGCTGCCCACCCCCTCTCCGAGACGCCCGCCCCTTCGCTGTGACCCCTGGGACTCCCACGCTGTCCCTGAAACCTTCTGAACTCTCGGCCTCTTTCCTGTAACATCCCGGAGTCTTCACACTGTAAACGAGCCTGGTTCTCCGAGGACAGTCCCCGCCCTGTGGCTGCCCCGGAGCGCCCAGGCCTGGAGGTCCAACGGGGACACCACGTGGCCCTGGCTGCCCCACACAGGTGGCTGCTCCTCCCGAGACTCCCCGCTTCTCCCAGAAGCGTGACATCAGGTTGTAAGACCCGTGACACCCACTCACCGCAACCATCTGTGCTCCCGTCATTAATGGCAGATTCTGGAACACCTCCCCGCCCCCCGCCTCCCCCGCCCCGTGTTATGTCTGCTGGTGATTTCAAAACCCAGCTCAGTCTCTGCATCACCTCCTTCCTGCTGCGTGGAATCCCCTCTCCGGTGGCCATACCTGCACCCTGCTGTCCAGACCACTGCTTAGCTTCAAGCCCCGCCCCCTCACTCCTCCAAAACCCCTCCTCCTCAAACCTGCCAACCCGCCCTAACTTTCACTGCCCATCAACACCCCTGCCGTGAGTTCCTCCTCCCCCTCCATGCCTCCCGCTCTGACCCTGGGTCCCTCGTTGTATCACATCCTGTACTCCTCCCCCAGGGTCCTTGTCTCTCGCTCCTCATTGTAGTTTCCTGTCTGAACGCTAAAACTGGCTAACTTCCACTCCCAGCCAGTGTAGCCTACAGCTGGAGACGGGGTGGCTGGGACTGCTCCACTACCAGCTCTGAAAGTTCTGTGTCCTCAGAAACCTCCCCTTCCTTCCAGGCAAACCGAGACCATTGTCCGTCCAGCCTGGAGAAAAACGGTACTGTCAGGAGATGTCATTAGCGTAGGCTGCAAGTTCAAATGCACCCCTGGCTTTGCTTGGCAAACCTGCCAACTACGCCCCATCCACTTGGCCTCTGTCAGCAGCTTATCCTCCATCCTGAAACATTCTTCCCACCACTGAGCTTAGGACGGAGAAAGCAATGACCAGGGAACCCTGTCAACCTGTCTGGGTCTGGACTGCATGTTTAAGGGGGGTGTATGCATGGGTTCACACATACACATGCATACACACATGTACACATGCACAGGCTCTGCTCGGGTGACCACGTAGGAGCTGTCCCTACTCGGACCCCAGGCCAGCTCCCTCCCTGTGCTCTTCACCCTGGACCAGGCCTCCCCTCTCGCTGCATCCTCGCTGTGACTTCCTTCCCCACTAGGCCTTCGCCATTGACACTTATGCCCGCTGTGACTTCCCCTAACAGACAGCAGGACCACAGTGAGAACCCCTTCCTGGGACAGCGCCCCGCCTGCCATGTCCTCCAGCTGCCACTCCCTCCAGCTGCCACTCCACCCGCAGCACCAGACCGGGCTCAGCAGACAGGTGGGGGTCCTCTCGCTTCCACGGCCCAGCACGGGCAGGCTGACACAGGGGCAGGCTGACACATGGGCAGGCTGAGGGGCGGAGCACGGCTGCGGAAGTGGTGAGGGGCCTCAGTGGGACTCGGCAGCTCCGGAAGGCTGGGCTTTCTGGCCACAAGTAACGCCCCTGGGGTCTGCTCACTCTAGAGGGTGCGACCGGCCACTCGCTGAGCCCGCACCGATCAGCCCACCTTGTGCGCGCCTCGCTCGGGGGTCTGGCCACCCAGAGGGCGCCCCTCGGTTAGTCCTCCTGCCTCCCCCCACCACGATGGTGCAGACTAGCTGCAGGCCAGACTACGGACAGAGACCTAGGAGTCCCCATGTCTGTTTACTGTTGGGGGCGGACGGGTGGCTACCTTGGTGTTTAGCTCTGGTAGGTGTGAGGCGCTGGCTGTGTAAGAGAGAGTTCTGGTTACGGCTTCTAACAGGTGGATGATGGCCTTACCTTCCGCAGGTCGGTCTGCAGCTGCCGGAGAATCAGCTCCAGCTGATTGACTTTGCCCGTCAGCGTGGATGGGGACCGCTCCCTGCAAATCGGGACAGAATTCGAGAGATTCCAGAGCACTGAAGTCAAAACGTTTCCGTCAGTATTTCTGCTCATTAGGTTTTACTCTCAAGTCACTGTGTGTGCTTGGAGCCCAGCAAGGAAATAGATAACACCACAGCGGGCAGGAGAGCGGGCGCACCGCTGCTGTGCTGGAACCACCCCCTCCCTGCCCGAGCGCTACTGAGGCACACACGCTGGTAAGGAAACAACAGAAGGGCCACCTCACTCAGTGCAGTGGGGACTGCACAGACCCGAATGCAGTGCTGGGAACCAGCACTATAGACCCGGTTCCCCTAATCTGCCTTCCTTTGTCATCGTCAAGGTGAGCGTGCAAGTCGGCGGTCACTCAAGTTCACACAGAGGCTGGAATCAGGAACGAATGATACAGGACACGCTCAGTGGAACGTGCGAGGCTGGGTCGAGGAGCAGGGTGGACACATGTCCTTGGCAGATCGCCCGTCGGGCGGAAGGCTCATCGGTGAGGTGCCCCTGTCCGGTGCTGTCACGGTAATTAGGTGGCAGGGGCGGACCCTGGCCCACACCCTCCCTCTTGGCAGGGACGCCGCACACCGTGGCATGGCCTGTGCATCCTGGTGGGCAGGACCCGCCCACGGGACAGAGCGGCTGTGCTGCTACACCCTGTCCACCCCAGCAAGGCAGGAGCGGGTCAGTCCCGCCCTGACCCTTCTCTGGGTTCTGAGGGACCAGGGATGCCCCCGTGATTGTGGTCTCCTGGCTGTCTGCAGCTAGCTGATCCCTGTCACTCCCGGGGGCTCGGGGCAGCGGGAGGCAGGGGGCCCACAGGGCTCACGTACCCGGCTGCGTCCAGGAAGTCCTTGTCGCTGCCTGGGTCGACACACAGAGGCAGCTCCTGGGCGCCCTCCAGGACTGGTGCGTGCTGCATGTCTGTCAGGGTGCAGAAGGACGCCACTCTCTGGTCTGGGCGGGGAGACACACAGAAGGGGGGGTTGGGAACGGCTCCAAGGCCACAGAACGGCGCTTTGCGGGAACGAGTGCGGCAGTCACGTAAAACCTCCCCTTACCCCCAAACCAATCCACAAGACAAAGAGAAACAGACGCAGGCAAGCTGCTGGCAGTCAGGAAGCAGTCACCGGCCGGCCCCCGGGGCTGCATGGCACATGCACGTCGCAGCCTCGGCCCATCAGCAGACACTGGGCGGGCTGCAGCCACCGCGTGTTCTCCTCTCCGCGCCCCGACACACGCCAAAGCGCCGGTGGCACCCGAACTAACAGTGCTGGATGATGGCGTGGCTGATCCACAGGCCCCAGGAGATGACCTCTCCGCCAGCTGCCCAACCCGGGGAGCACCCTAGAGACACAGCAGCCGGGACACGTCTCCCCTGGGCGCACCCAGCCCTCCGAGCACCAGTGACCATGCAGACGTGCAGACACACGACACAGAGAGAAGGGCACAGACCACCGCAAGCCCGCGGCCAGCCCAGACAGTCACCTAGATAGGGCATGTGCTGATAGAGCAGACCGAGTTCTTCGTCTGAGTCAAGACCTGGAATAAGATTTAGAATTCTCCTGTGAACGGCGTGTCCCTGGGCCCCTGGGAGCCCCTGAGGCCCCCGTAAGGCTTAGGTAATGGGGTCCCGTGGGTCCAGCTCGTGTGCACTTGTATGGGTGTGTGTGCACGTGTGTACACATCTGCACATGTATGTGTTCTCCCACATCAGGAGTAGCAGAGAGCCATTGGTGTGCCATGGCAAGCAGCGTGGTTAGACCGTGCATTTCACATGTAGTGGCCCCGGCTGGATGCAAGGCTGTCGGCTACACAGACACAAGGGGTGTGCTACGCGCTTGCCAATCCAACAGGAAGACGGCGTGACCACTGAGGGTTTGCTTAAATAACCCACGCCGGGAACGCAGGCAGCGGTGGCAGGAGATCAGCTCCGTGATGTCGCTGGAAGCCGAAGAGGGCGCCCCAGGGGCCCAGCAGTGACTGTGATCAGTGGGACCACCGGTCTCGTCTGAGCCCAGGGCCACTTCTACTCCCGGCACCAGTGACTCCGGTCAGTGACGCAGGCCCGAGGCAGGAAAGGGGACAAACTATTCTCCTGAACGGGCACGGGGTCGGCCCAGCTCTGGACCCGAACCCCCTCCAGAGACGCTGCCTGGCACGCAGAACCACGTCCTGCATCTGAACAAAGTGGAGGTGAGAGCGAGGACGAGTTAGTGATCCACACCCCCGCCCCCCACTTCCCGGTGTCTCTGTGCCCTGCGCCTGAGCAGGCGTCTGCGTCCACAGTGGGACTCCGAGGGGCAGAGCAGGTGCATTTACACGGCAGCACCTTTTTCATACGATTTGATCAATGGCTGAGAAGCTCCAAGGGGTCCCCGTCGGGGTGGGGCTCTGTTCTTAATTTATCCCACGGTCTCCCACTGGCTGTCAGATCTGCCTTCTAATGAGGCTACCTGCCTGGCTGTTTATGGAGGGTCAGGCACGTCCCGTTAATTGGGAAGGACGTCGGTGGCGGAGGCCGGCAGGAGTGCAGGGGGGGCACGAGGCTGGCATGGGCACGGGGCTGGAGCGCCCAGCAGGGGCCGGGCCCCCGGGAGCTGCTCGGAGCACGCACGGGGCTAGGGCTCGCAGAGCACGTCCTCCCGCCTCGCACCCCGCGTTCCTACGTCACACCTGCCACAGGTGCGCGGCTGTCCTTCCGCCAACACTTCCGTGAAGCTCTCAGGACGCCCTCCGCACCTCCCGTCTTCTCCTAGGTGACAAACGTTCTACAACCAGACGCCCCGAGACAATCTGTCCCCAGTTTGGTTCTGCACACGACAAAATGATCTGTAACTGGAGTAAGACTAATGGCAAACTTTGGCCGCTGCCTACTCGCCCCCAGGACTGGCTGTGACGGCGCAGCGGGGCAGGAATGACAGGCGGGCGTCCTGGTGGGGGGCGAGCAGCTCCAGGGAGGGCTGAGCGGGGCCTGGGCTGCCACCGCGCCCAAGGTCGCCCTCTGCTCTGTCATGGCTTCAAATAAGGAGCACCTCAGGCTTAAAAAACAAAACAAAACAACAGCAGCAGCAGCTGTATTTTTATTCCACGGTGAGTTAAACGACTGGGGGGAAAATGCCAAAACAAGATGGTTTTCTCACGTGTGAACAGAGTCCCAGGGCCTCGTCCCCACTTTACGAGACCTGGTGACGACTCGCCGAGCTCCTCCTGTCTCTGAGATGTGTGATGGCCCAGCACTAACACCTGGGTGGAAATGTCCTTGCTTCCTCCACCCGCTTCCACCTCATTCCACAGACTGCCCCACATCTGACGTGAACGGAACTTGCTACCGGCCGTCACTCCAACATCCCTCGGGGAGCAACCCCGAAGGCCCAGGGTCGGGAGCAAGGAAGCCAGAGAGGGGGTCCTGTCAGCAGCGTGTTTCCACGGGGAGGGTCCCACTCGGGGGCCTGGAAAGCCTGGGAGGTGGAGACGCACCCAGAATGGGGTTTGATTAGGACCACGCACCCAACGGCTCTGTCGAGTGGCCAATCTCGCCGACAGCTTCCTGGGGAAGCTTTATTCCCCCGCGGTGGATTTCCGTGGTGATAAATATTCAGTGACTCGGTAATTACTGACAGGGGACCAAATGGCGCCGACAAAACGGCAAGGAGGGAGAGGCGTGGGTGGGCGGGCTACATGTAAACAGCGAGGCGAGGTGACAGCCGCCCGCCCTTGGAGCAGGTGCACGTCCCCACTCCTTCCCGTGGAGTCCGTCTGGCTGTGTGGGGGGTGCGGGGGCAGGACGGGAGGCACGGCTCAGGCCGGAAACAGTCCGTCCCCTCGAACAGCGTTTCTGTGAGGCCTGGTTTACCATCAGTTTCTCATTCGAGTGCACTGAGCACCGAAAAGAGGGAGAACCGTCAACAGGTGATTCCGTATCAATCTAGAGCCACGATGGCAAAGCAGCAGCCTGCCAGGCATCCCCAGGACCCCGGCCAGGCCTCGGGGTGCGGGCGGAGAGTCCACGGCCACTGGTCACGTCCCCCCAGGGCGGCCCGTGAGCCGTGGACACCGGGCCAGCCCGAGGCTCCCTTAACCTGAACGCATGCCCACAAACACAGCTGCCCTGGTAGGTCTCTGCCGCACCCGCGAATTACAGGGACGCTGGGGCCTTAACCGCCTTCAGGAAACCAGAGGTTCTGGTTCTGACTGTGGCAAGCTGCCTGAAGTGACCACCAGGGAAGAAAGACAAAGGCTACACTGCACTTCAGACGTGAAACGCCTGGGTGCAGGCCTCTCGCAGCCGGTGGATGAACAGAGACGGAACGGTCTGGAACCTGCCTCTGAGCAAGAAAGCACACGAGCTGTGGACTTGCTCTTCATTTAACATCCAACCCCTGCTCCTGGCTTGAAACAACCGCCCTGCTTTTGAGGTAATTTAAGTCAGCTCAGTGTATTAAATTAACTGCATTCTTCAGCTAAGGAGCTGTCCCATTTCTCTCTCTTCTCATCATCTACTCATCATTTTCCCTCGGGAGTGACACACGATGCCCCGTGTTTGTGCGTGTGCGCACAACGCAGGCATGCTCTCACTACACTCTGAGGAGCCCAGGGCATGTAGAACGTGGCGAGTTAAAAGTGCAAACTCCCGTGTTTCCAGGAAACACGCCTACGTGGGCGGTGTCGGTCCTGTCGTGGTGCCTGACGAGGGTTCACGCTCGCCCACTCCCACGGAAGGTGGCACCAGCACAACCGGGACGAAGAGCCGGCCCCAGAGGGCAGGGCAGGCTCCCTGCGACCCCTGAACTCCAGTCACCCATCTGTGATTTCGCCTCGGGGGCCTGTGTTCCCTCGGAAGAGCACCGCCCACTCCATGAGTGCTCGAGAACAAGCCAGCTGCCCGCTTCCAGTAGATCGCTAAGTCAGAACACTACGGGCAAGCCCAGAAACTCTCCAAGTGGCGCCGCTCCCCTGCCCTGCATCCCGGTGGGCCCCGGAGCCCGTGCTTCTGGCTGCGCGTGCTCCCTCCACCGCACTCCAGGGTGGGACCTCGTACGCGTGTTACTCAGAACACCCACACCTCTCATCAGTCTACCTAATAAAAATAATAATGATGGGCTCCGCGCAGGTGACAGTGTGATGGCTGCACTGTCCTGCACAGATCGTCAGTTTTATTTAGGAGTTCCAATCTGCAAAGGGCCACCTCTCACCTCCGCTGACCCAGAGGACTGCACGCGCTGAAGCGGCCCGGACCCTGAGCCCACCGGGTGTCCCTGCTCACTGCCCCGGAGCAGGGGGCTCGGCCCAGGCGGGAGGGCACCACGCGCTTCGCTCCCCCCTCCCTCACAGACCTGGAAGGCGCTCTCAACCTCCTGACATTGGTTTTCTGGGTAGAGTTTGGTTATATAGCTGTTCACTTATTAATTACATTTTAATAATGCTGTACAGTATTTCTCTATTGGAAGCTCTTTTTTTCTCTTCTTCTGCATAATTTCCAGGAAGCAAGTTTTCAGGAATCAGATTTCTGGTCAGAGGGCGGGCACATTTTTTTGGCTCTAGCTGCATATTATCATATTGCTTGAACGAAAGGATGAATCATTTTATAACCTTTATAATGATACCACCTTCCCAGAGCTGCTGAATCATTTTTCATATTCAAAAGGTGTGAGTTGGTAGCTCATTATCGTTAAACTTGACGTGTGCCGGTGAATGTTTTTCAGGGACTTACTCATAGTTGATTCCTCTTTTGTGGACGGTGCACCCACACACCCTGGCCATTTGTCTGCTGGGGTTTGGTGCTCCGTGCTGGTGAAGGTCCTTTACTGGCTCGAGATATCCTGGTTTCATCCGTCACCTTTATCACAAATCTTTCCCCACATTCCCCACATTTGGCCATAAAACATTTTGTGTTTTCTCATTATTCCGTGATTAAAGCACCATCATGCTTCCAACATGGTCATCTTCCTTTCTTTACTTTTTCTCTTTTCTAATTCCTAGATCCAGAGAAAGGACACAACCCGCATTCCCCGTGACCTCTGAGGTACATTCAGACTTCGGTCCGGGCTCCTCATCTTTCTTTAAAGACTCACTGATAATTCTGAATCATTATCATGCTGCTTTAACTACTGATGTATCTATAATAGACTCGTTTGTGAACACTGTTCGTCCGCCTTCCAAGCAGATGCCATTGAAGGATATCCGAACCGAAACTGCGCAAACGCATGAGTGAATGCAGGAGGGGCTGCCCCCCTCGCTACAGGCTTTCTGGCCCTTCCCATCTCTGTATACGTTAAAGCTTTCCAGTTGCGGCAGTGTCCTTGGAATTTTCTTGTTCCGTTGATGGCTTATTTCCCGAAGTCCGCATCCTCTGACCTTGCTGATCCGTTGCTGTTGTGGCAGAGGCCATGCACAGAGACGGTGGTGGGCACGTGCCATCCCTGCAATCCGCTGGCCTTGTGACCTGCTTTGTCCAATAAAACGCAGTGGGTACGATATTCAAGTCACACCTGGAGAAATGCTGCAGCTTCTGCCTTTGCACCCCTGAGCCCCACGGCCGCATGTGAAGAAGTGCGACCACCTGCTGGAGACGGGGGTCCAGCCAGGCCCCAGCTGGCCAGACGCTGACGTATAAGAGGGAAGGTGCCTTAAGGCTTCGCCCCAGCGGAGCGCCAGCTGTATGCAGCTGCACGAGTGAGCCCAGCTGCCCGCACAGGGCGCAAGGCCGCCAGCACAGGGCACAGCAGAGCCTCCAGGGGAGCCTGCCTGATCCCAGCCATGGGACTTACGACACCACTGCTGTGTCTAGAAACTAGAAAAATATAGTTTGCTAATATCGTTTCGTTTTGATCTTTCCTGTTTTCTAGCTATAGAAGCATATCCATAACGTTTATTTACCTCCGAAGTGTATTCCTTCTCTCTCTGCATTGCTTGCTTAAACAAGAAGGACTCCAGCACACAATGAACAGACGTGGTCTCAAATGACACCCCCGTCTGGCTTCTGGGTTTAGGGATATGCTTACAAGCATTTTCCTACTAATTATCATACAACTGTTCGGTATGGAGTGGATTTCCTTTGTTAAGCTTTAAAGAAGGTATCTCTCAAACCTTCATTTTTATTAGAAATAGGTTCTAATTATATTAGATACAGTCTTCTTATGAAACTGAGATAACTTTTAATTACTTCGTCTACTGTAACATAATTAAGTTTTCCTTTTATTAAATGAGCTAAACTCTTGCCAATAACAATGAATAATCTTTTTAATGTACCGCAGAATTTCATTCAAGCTTCCTGACATCAATATTAACGACGAAGACTGTCTCACAATTTTTTGTGTGTATGTTATCAGGAAAGAATCCTACTCTATAATAAGATTGTTTCTGAATTTGAAGAAAAATTTGTACAAGGGGTTCATTATCCTCTGAAACTTTGAAAATGATGAGCTGCAGATGTAGTTGCAGGTGGTACTGGGGACTCAGGGATGATCTCGGGCGACCTGTTCGATGCCCCGCGCACCTGGCCTCTGACTTTTTCGAGGCTCACCCCGCCTTCCTTGCCAGAAGGATCCAATGATCAGATTTATTCCTAAAAAGATGCTTGACATTCCTTCATTTTTAATCTTTCTTATGTATGACTGCATACTAAGTTACTTTCTCATGTCTCATACTGTTCCCTTGTACTTGCCATTTTTGGACCAGATTTACACTGGTTTATTAACAAAGAAAACTGGTCACTGATTTTTTAATTTACAAATCACACTAAGATTTCATTTGCCAGTCTTAAAAAAACTGGTTTCTCTGTTGTTTTCATGCACGGCGTTTGCGCCGTCTTTTTGAAGTGCAGTTGGGGTAACCTCGGGACGTGTTTCGGAAACGGCAGCCCAGCCCTGGTGTAAGGGCTGCTCCCTGGCCGCCGTGCCCAGGTGTTCACAGGTGGTGTCTCTTCCATCATCACTCACCCAGACATTGGTCTTACGGTCCTTCATTCTTCCTGGCACAATTATTGTTACAGTCATAGCTCATGTTTTCCAAATTCTGTATTTCCTGTTTAATCCTATTTCCACTGCCCTGCATGGCATGGAGATGCCCCTCCACTCCGAGGGGCTGTGGGGCATGCTTGCGCACGGGCAGCCTGGGAGTGCCACCTGCCCCCAGGAGCACCACAGATGTCCCGCTCCCGGCACTGACAGGGCGCATGTTTGAGCAACCGTCATGGGGGCAGGTGTGCACCAGGTGCTCGCTCCATGCTTCAGTGGGGCAGTGAGCCCCGCATGCTCAAACTCACGGCCCAGAGTCCCTTTCAGCTCTCAAAGGCGAGTACATCACAGGCCGAAGAGAGTTGCCCACGTGAGGCCGATCGGCGGGGGAGGCACATCTGCTGGGGATGCACCGCATCCCACGGCTGGACTCCGGGGCCGTCACCGCCAGTCCACGGGCGGGCGCGGTCCAGGCTGCGAAGCCCGCTTTCAGACGTGCTGACTAGTGGTGTCGCAGAACGGGCAGGGCGTTCTTCCGGCGGTCCCGGTTCAACAGGCGTCTTCTCCTGAGTTTTTCAGTCCGTCGGAACTTAACGAGCTCATGGGGGGTTTGGGACTTTCCCTTTTTAAAATTTTTCAATTGCAGCTGACACACAGTGTCACATTACTTTCAGGTGCACAACGTGGCAATGCGACGTTCGTACACCTCACAAAGTGGTCTTCCCCGTAAGGCTGGTGCCCATCCGGACCACCTTGTCCTTGTCCTGCAGGGTCTGCGGTCCAGCTCAGGAACGGCTGTGGGAACTGGCACAGAAAGTCAGGTCATCACGAGAGGGCGACGGGGTCGCCGAGGGGAGGACGTTGCCCTGGACAGTGCTCAGGCGGCCGCTCACACCCAGTCACCGCCGCACTGACGCAGGAGGGTCCAATGAGCTGTGGGTCTGCAGCTGCCGATTCTCCACGGAACGTTCTGGAGCTGACTCCTGTCTCGAGGCGGCATGCTGCCCTACAGCATTGAAAATTACTGAAATTTTAAAATATGATGTAAACTCGTTCTGTAGTTTCTACAAACACCATCTGGGAATGTCAGGAGTGGCAGGCAGGCAGGCAGAGCCACGGCGCACAGGACCCAAGGCCCCTCTGGCCAGCTCTCCCACCACCGGCCATGGGGGCGCCACGTCCTTGCGCTTGCTGCTCCTCTCTCGGAGGGCGCCGACCCAGCTCAGGAGTGCGCTCCACTCCAATGAACAGGACTGGAGGGTTAGCATGGGAGGAAGCCCTGCAGAGCTGTGGGCAAAGGTCTTCACTGCACAGACCAGGAGGCTGAAGCCCAGCGCAAGGAAGCGGCTTCCTCGGGAGATGACTTACCGAACGGTCAGTGCTGGCACGAGGGTGCACGTCAGGGCGCTGGACTCCCTGACTTGTCCGAAGCCCACATCTGGCAGGAAAGCAGCCACGGCCGTCAGAATCCCGGGGCTGATCACTCAGTCTCTGGGGCGCTGGCCGTTCTGCTTCCTCAGCCTCTCACTCATCCCCCCGCCCCCAGCTCCCTGCAAAGACCCGCTGCAGAGCCGAGGTTTTACTCTGAAGGGGAAGGAACCAGGCATAGCCACCAACGAGGGGGCATCCCCAGGCGGCTGATAAATACTGTTTAAATCTGAAAAACGAACGCAAGACGCAAAAGGACCTCAGAGGTCGAAACCGACGCTGAGCCGGGGCCGCTCAAGGCTGCGGGCGCCCGGGGTGGATGCCTTGTCATCTGCTCGTTGCTGTCCTGCCACGCGCTGGTGAGTAACGAGAAGATAATGAAACACGCAGCCTTCCCTCGAGAACTCACCACCTAGTAGGAAGAGGCAGGCGTGTGGATAAAGCAGAATTTGGCGTGGCAAGCCCTTATGGGGGGGGGGAGCACTGCACAGGATGGAACAGATGTCCCATGTGCTCCTGGGGACAGTAAGGGAGCACAGTGTGTAAGGAACCTGCCAGGGAAAATGCCGTCACCCCCTGCCTGGGCCTCCTTGGACCGAGGGAGACACAGTGTCCCTGCCCACTGGGGCTGCGTCACTCCCAAGCCAGTGCTGGAGCAACAGGGGAGGGGGCCCTGGGCCCGGGGCATGTACCGTCCATGCCCGACATTGGGACACAGAGAGGCAGGCCGGGTCCACGGCAGGCGGGGTGCCGCTGGGTCTGCACAGGGAGAAAGAAGCGCTCTGTAGAGTGGTCTCGCCTCTTCCCCTGAGGACACGTCGTCCTGCAGAAATGTCCTCCTCACAGAGCTCCCCGTACCTGTCAGCAGAGCGGAAGGTACCCAGCATCTAAAGAGTTGGCTGGAGAGTAGCTTTCGCTGCCCCACCCCGTGCCCCAGGCTGATACCAGCAGCACCAAGGGTGCTTAGTGCAAACCCACTGCAGGGCACCAGCGGGGTAAGCTTGTCAGGGCGAGGGGCAGGTAACGCTGCAAACCTTCACCTTCCACGGCAGCCTGAGGTCCAAGCGCACCTGCCTGTCCTGGGAAAGAATCTGACTTCGCTTCCCGAAGCCCTGCTGTCACCTGTGATGGGGGCTGGCTACCCGAGAGGAAGAAGGGGAGTCGAACTGTGGGGACTGCGGCTCCCAGATGCACCGCAGACTCTCCCTCAGGCCCCTGCTGAGACCCTCACCTCCTCCGTCCCTTCTGGTCATCCCGGGAGGAGCAGAAGATGTGGCCGTGGGAGAATTCAGCAGCAAGTGGCAAGGGCATCATCCCAGGCCCCGGGCTGCCCCTCCACCCACCTGTGAGGCCCGGGCCACACAGGAAGCGAGTAGCCCCCTGTCCGTCTGCCTGCATCTGTGAGCTGGGAAAAGGAGCCGCTTCAACCTTTTAACCTCCCAGCGGCAACAGTGCCAAGGGTGGCGGTGGGAAGGGACTTAGAGATCGGCTGGCACAGCCACCCTCCCGACCTCGGTCAGAGGCTGAGGCCCAGACACGGAGGCTGCTTGGGTCCAGCAGAGGCCGGAAGCCGTGTCTGCATGAAGCCACCAGCCCCCGCCTGCTCAGCCGCCTGCAGCAGGAGCTTCGACCTCTGAAGGGCGTCCCCTCCTCTGTCCCCTCACTTCACCGGGAGGAGAGATGTAATCTGCACCCTAAACATTCACCACTACCTTCGAGGTAGGAAAAGGGGGGGTCAGAGAGGAAGAGGAACCTGCCCCCGCCGCAGCGGGTCCCTGAGCTGGAATGCAGGTTCAGGTCTGCTGCCCGTCTCACTAAGTGGCCAGGTCTCCCTGGGGAGTGTCCTCATCACGGCTCAAGCCTTTCCTGCCCGTTTCCATCCTCACGGGGGTGAGAGCACCCAGCGCGTTAACCGGGGTGACCCGAGAGCAGACGTGTCCCCAAGCTGCTGCCCCCGCCCAGAGGCCATGCGTCTTTACCTTCAAATGCCCGGGCGGCATCCACGAGGTGGGACCAGTCGAGCCCCGTACCCGTGTCCGGGAGGGGCATCAGGCCAGGGTCTGCGCACTTGGGCTTGTCTGATAAGGACCCGTCGGAGAACCAGAACTCATCTGCATGAAACAAAGCCAGAGTCAGTCGGGTGCAGCACGGGGTGCTGGCTGGCCCCTTCAGGGGCCTGGGGACCGTCCTGCAAAAGGTCTCTGCCCCCCACCCCCCGTATCCCAGGAGGAGATTACACTGCAGTTACCCAGAGGAGACAGCCGGGAAATCAGGGGTTTGCACAAAGTCGTGACCGGCAGACTCACTCAGAGTCAGCCAAGGGAGTGAGGGAAAGGGGACCTCATAGAAGGACCTCCACCTGCATCTCACTGGCCAGGACCAGTGCCCAACTGCCTCAGCCTGACTGCCCAGCTTTAAAGAGCCATGCACGCTTTTAATGTACAGAGGGTTTGATGCCATGTCCCTTTAACCAGGAAGTTTGAAGGGCATCCTGAAGAACAGGGGCCTAAGCTGATCGGCCCAAATCGAGACGCCTGGAATGTCAGTTTATAGTGAGCACACGGGAGGACTGACTTCGCCTCCACTGGGAACGGGTGAGGGAGAGGGGACACTCTGCCTGCTGCGGCGTGTGGAGGTGGCTCTGGCCCGGGCTGCACCACACACCCCTCCCGCCCTGCGCTGACCCACGGCCCTCCTGTATCTGCACAATGGGCCGAGGGTGCTTCTTTCTCTCTCAGCTCTCATCGCAGCACCTCGAGTGTTAGGACTGGTTGAGAGCACGTGCATCGGGGGACGCGTCTTCTAAAGGCTCTCACTGGGCTTTCTCTAACGCGCCTTTTCTCAGCCTGCCCGGGGAGGTTCGTGCAGCTGCATGGGAACACGTCTGACTAATTAGAACAATCAAAATAATGACTACCTGGCTGCCGGAGCCCGCAATTAAGTAAGGGACATAATTAACTAAATGCACCTGTGATTTCTGTCCCACACCCTCTCGGGTCGCTGTGAAACGCTGGCATCTGGACTGAGAGCGCGCGCTTGGCACTGGCCTTGAAGGGCACTGAGAGCCCACTTGGCACACGCAGCTCCGAGCCACCTCCAGCAGCTGCAGCTCGACCCAACGCTCTGTTGCTAACGCTGCACGTTTAAGGTGGGGACAGCCCCCCAACCTGGTCCCAACGTCCACTTTGCAGGGAACCGGTCACTGGTCATGGGCATTTTGTCGGCACCACTCCTGCCACTCCCTCCACGTGCTGAGTTCTTCTTGGAAGTAACCACCATTGCCGCCTGTTCCGTGCAGGGCGGGCTCCATCCTGGCCGAGGGGTGGCTGAAGGGTGGCCAAGGGGTGGCTGAGGGGCACATGGACGTGGCAAAGCTCGAGGGGAGCTGGGACAGGGAGCAGGTAGCTCCATCTCCGAAACCCCGGGAGGCATGTGCTGGGCAGAGGCTGCGCTGACTGCCTGCCCCCTGCCCCCGCCAGGCCTCGGCTGTTAACCCGGAGTGTCAGGCTCGGCCCCAGGCAGAGAGGGAAGGAGGACCGAGACCTTCACGTCTCTAACGCACTCACTGGCTGCTTTGCTTACGGCAGGTGCTCTGCACTAAGTCCAGAGAAATCACATAACGAGGTGGCAAGTACTCATGCCACTGAGTCCCTCCCCTGTGACGACAGAGTTCTTCAGGGAGGGGGTCAGAGTGTGGCAGCTCCGGGAAGGGGCAGGGACCGGGCAGGGCAACCCTGGGTGCACGCTCCTCGCCTGCCCCCTCTCCTGCCATCACTGGAGAGGAAAACGAGAGAGAGAGAAAATCACCCAGGTGAATAAATGTTTCTACAGAAAGTGCACTCTGTTATCAGGTTTTGCTAAAAAACGCCAAGTTGACGGCTTTCTTTGCCTTTGAAAGGCAACGATCCTTCGCCTGAGCTCGGGGCATCTCAAAGCTCAGAGTCAATCCTGAGGTGAGCTCTGCGTGCCTTCTGGCTTCCCGCTCGCAGCGCCAGACAGGGTGCCCCAGGGGCCCCGGTGGGAGGGGGAAGGCAGGCCTAGAGGGAGATAATAGAGGACAAGCGGGCCAGAGAGAATGAAGGGGATGGACCAACCTACTCGGTGGCCTGTGCTGACTCCAAGGACGGGGTGCTAGGCCAATGTCCCTTGGACCCCTGCCCCCTCCTCTTGTCCTCCCTGCCACCGCGCTGAAGGAGCTGCCTTCCCCACAGCCAACGGAGCGCTGGAGGCGGGGACACGACGATCCTGGGCTACAGCTTCAGGCTCTGGCTCTTCCCGAGCATCCCGAAGTCCCGTGATGGGGGCCAGGAAGCTGATGCCCCGAGTGAGTGGTTGGGCGGGTACCCCCAGCTGTCCACACCGCAGGGCCGGTCAGCCCGCTCCATGGGTCCCCACCCACAGCCTCCACACAGGCCACGCAGAGACCACATGCCAGGTGGCCCCCAGGGCCGGGGGACCTGCGGAGGTCTCAGGGCCCAAGTTTCATGAGCTCCGGGCATTCTTCTAACCTTCTCCAGCTTTAATGGAGGACAAGGAGGGGCTGCAGTCTGTGGGTTTTCTTTTTCCTTACACACTCTTACTCCCCACCCCCCCACCCCCCGCCACTGTGACCATGACTTTCATGTTCATTTGATGCTACGGGACTGGTGACGGTGACAAGGTGGCGCCTTTCCTCTTGTTTCTCTGGAGCGCGCCACCCACTCACCATCTATCTATGACGCATTTATTAAACCACTGCTGTATGCCCAGTGCTGGATGGGGCTGCGGTGGGTACGCAGACAAGGCCCGTCCCCTCCTGGAGCTTATGCTGCCAGTACCAGGAAAAGGGAGGACGGCACAGGAGCAAGAACGCACAGACAGGGCCGAGTGTCCGGAAGAAAGCAGACCGGGCTGACGGGGCCGACGGGGCCGACGCGGCAGACAGAACAGACGGGGCCCACGGGGCTGACGGGGCCGTGGGGTGTGGGGCAGGCCTGTCCCGGTGCTGACGGTCGCCGAGACGGGAGTGCCGGGGAGCTGTCTGGGGAAAGGCGCAGTCCCACAGAAATGCTCCGACAGAACCCGGAGTTAGATCTCAACCTGCTGTCCCCCCAGAAGCAGTGACAGTCACCTGGACCGAAGGAAGAGCTGCCTGGATTCCTCTCTGAATGATCGCAATGGACAGCACCTATGTCCCCTCCCCACCCCAACTGCTTGGACAATCATTTAATTAGAAAAAAAAGAATTACCATCTCTCTCCCTTTAGTTTTTTTTAAACGTGTAGCTTTTTTAAAAAAAGATTTTATTATTTATTTTTAGAGGGAAGGGAAGAGGAGGAGAAAGAGGGAGAGAAACATCAGTGTGCGGTTGCCTGTCATGTACCCCCTACTGGGGACCTGGTCTGCAACCCAGGGATGTGCCTGACTGGGAATTGAACCTGCAACCCTTTGGTTTACAGGCTGGTGCTCAATCCACTGAGCCACACCAGCCAGGGCTGATTTTATTTGTTTATATTTTTTTGATCTGAGACCTCAAACCATCGAAAATCCCTTTTACTGACACTAGGTAACTAACCCTAACGGTGTCCTTGGCATCACTGCATTATGTTCACTGAGCACCTGCCATCTTCCAGGGACCGCCAGGGAGGCTGCTCGCACCAGGGACAGAATGACCCTGGACACAAGGTCTGCCCTCGGGGAGCTGGTCAACACGCAGGATGCCCTGCTGGTGCGGGTATGCTGGTGTCTGGGCCGGGTCTGTGCAGGGAGCCACCCCTACACGTGGTGCTCACCGTGGCGGCCATCCATGGTCTGTCTCCTGAGTTTACAGGTGGGAGGAGAAGGCACCACAGCTCTTAGCCGTGGAAGCCGCAACCCCAGCTCTCCCAGGTGGGGGTCGGTGGCACCCAGGAGACCACACTGCGCTTCTGGCCAATTCGGAGAAGAAAGTGACTTGTGGCTCTCAGAGCTGGCTAACGTCCGGCCCCACTGCCTGGGCCCAGGACACCGATCCCGTGGCTTCCTGTCTGTGTATCCGAAACCTGACATCGCAGTGACCAGCATCACTGAGTCCCACATTCCTGCTGTCATTCAGACCGCGGGCCTTCCACAGCGACGGCCACTCCTGTTGGTCAGCGGCTCCTCTCGCACCTGCACTCGGGTCTGCAGCACCTCGTGTGAGCGGTAGTTACACAAAAAACACTAATTTCTTCTACTTATTGTAAAACTCCACCTGCCTTTGACCTCAAGGGACCTCCTCTGTGAGGTGCCAAGGCCTAAGCCCCAGCTTTGGGACCGTGCATAAGCTCATACTCTGTTTTTGTTCTTTGAAACTTAACTCTCATTAGCCTACCCTCACAGGAAGAGTCCCACAATTTCTGAGGGAGCTCTGATCCCTACTCCATGAAAAAGTCAGGAATTCTCTGGATAGGTCGTGAACGGAACCTGCTGATACTTGGGACCGAAGGAAGCTGGTGCCCAGGGGTCAGGGGTCAGGGAAGGAAGGACTTGGACTGCTTCTCAGTGTCACTGGTTATCTGGCCTGTGAACCTGTGTCCAAAGGGCCCCTCCCCATTTCTTTTTCTGTCTGGGCCCCTGGAGAAATGTTGCTCTGAAATGGACCACCAACGGAGGCAAAGGCCTGAGGGCCCGGCAGGACCATCAGAACTGCGTTCACTCGCGCATCCAGGCCGTGTTCCTGCCCCTCCAAGGTGAAGACACAAGGACGCGGCCCGTTGCCGCGACTCCACAGAAAACACGCACAAACCAGGACCCGAGGCCCAGCCAGAATGTGTGGGTTAAGATCTGTCTCCCAAGGTCAGATTACGATCTCGATCTCCGGAGAACAAAGATTCTGAGACAGGTTCATTTAATCTGGGACAGGTAAAATCTAAAAACACCCGACCCAGACACCTGGGACCGTCGTCACCCGTGGAAGAGGCGCAGTGACAGGTCTCCCGTCCCACCGAGACAGGCGGACCCTCCCCCTCCCCTCTCCTCCGCGCTCCCCTCGCTCCGAGCTGGGAACGAGACCGGAGCGAGCCTGTACTGGTGCAGGGTCCTCTCTTCGAAGGTCAGACGCTTCTTAGGAGCGGGCGAGTGTCAAAGTTGAAAAGAAGAATACGTGTGCCTCTGAGCGTTTGGCCTGGCTCAGCTGCGTAGCTCCTGAACCACGCAGTGCAAACAGATGCTGACCTGCGCGCGAAGTTAGAAGGTCCAGCCAGGTCTCGGAGGGACTGAGAGAAACCACTAGGCACCCTCGGATGCCCCTCGTTCTCATGCACAGACACCTGCCGGGCATTGGCACACACACCGGACCTTTCTAGGCCCCGGTTTCAGGCTGTCAACGGCTCTCAGAGTGACGTGTTCTCGCAGGGCCGCTGCTGAATGACCAGGAACCACAGGAGGCGAAGCGGGACTGAGGCCGGTGCTAAGTCACGGGCACACACACAGGTGTGGGTGGGAGGTGAGGTCCCCCGAGGGCAGCCAGACAGACAGGCCCCTGAGGCTGAGCCGCTCCTGGGCAGCCTGGGGGAGCCACATCCACGGGAACGACCCCCGGCTCCCTGGCTGACATTGTGTCCTCTGACCCATCAAACCGCGAGAATTCGGAGTCGTCAGTACAAGTCACGTAGGAATCAGAGGGAGTCCCGCTGCCAGACCAGAAGGTTTCTTTAGAGGAGAGCGAAGGGCAGGGCCACGCTGACTGTGTTTCCTAGAGAAGCGGACAGTGGAGGGGAGTGGGCAGTCTCGACTCGGGCAGGGGAGGGCAGACGGCGTGTCCTGCCGGTTTCCCAGCCGCGCCTCCACCCTGCGAACACACGAAGGGAGACCGAGGCCCTCCCGCAGGTAACTGGGTTGACCAGCCATGGTCCAGTCCACCTAGACAGTGGAACCCTGCCCCGTGCTGAAGAGAAGGGAGCCGTCGACCCTGAGACGGCAGGAGGAGCCTGGACTGAGCAGTGCTAAGAGGAAGCTGCCGACCAGAAAGAGCTACATGCTGCATGACTCAAACTATACGACGTTCTGGAAAGAGCGAAACTAGGGAGACGAAAAAGATCAGTGGCTGCCAGGGGTCCCGGAGGAGGGAGGGGTGAAGAGGGGAAACATGAGGAGTTTTAGGGCGGTGGAAACAGCCTGCGCGATGCCATAGTGGCGGACGCAGGTCATTACACATGTACCCAGACCCGCGGAGTGTGAACACCAAGAAGGAGCCCTGCTGTGGACCGTGGGCGCCTCGTGGGCAGCCACGACGGCTCAGGTCGGTGTGTGGATCCTGACATACGTCCCGCTCTGGTGGGGGACGTGGAGGACGGGGAGGCTGGGCCCGTGTGCCCGGGGTACATGGGGACTCTGTGTTTTCTGCTCAGCTTGGCTGTGACCCTGACACTACTCTAGAAAAGTTTATTAAACAAAAGTGAAGCTGAAAAAGATATGTATCCTTCACACGAGCAAGTGAAGGGCAGAATGCAAGAGCTACACAATACAAATGCCACAAATTTCACATCACACGTCAAGCATTTGAAGTAAAAACAGTAACATTTGTAGGAAAATAGAGTGTTACTGGTTTTGCAAAGGCTTTGAAGAGGACATTAAAGTTACCTATTTACTGAAAAGGAAAAGCGTTTATATTAGGGCATTAGAATATGCATGTCTGACCTGGTTATCAAAAAGAAGATTAAAGGTTTCTTTAATTTAGGCAAATGGACCCTTTAAAATAGGCAGGATATTAAGTCACTTAAAGAAATAGATTAAGAATTTTATGAGAAGGTTCATTTCCAATTATGTTAAACATCAGAAACATTATTAGAACTTTTATTTCATTTACCCGAGACCTCTATGTGTACTGTGAAGTTCAAGTTCATTTTAAAGATAATACTTTCTATGATGAAATGTTAAAAAAAAAAACCTGACAATGAATGCATTCCTGGTGAATTCCCCATTCTTTCAGTACAATAGAAATTAACTATGAAAAAAAGAAAATAAAGTTGATGTAATAAAAACCATTCAACAATGACATGTTAATAAGTAACTGACATTATGTAAAAATCAAAGGTTTCAGGGTTTTAAGGACTATCATCCAGAAAGCATCCAGTCAGCCTGTGACCCCCAGTAAAGCAGATGCAGAAGCTGAGTGAGGAGCACAAGGCCAGACCCCCGCTGGCCTGCAGAGCCACATCCATGCCCCAGGTCTCCAGCCACGCCACCCCCCCCCCATACCGCCAGGCACTGAAGGCCCAGGAGACAGAAACAGAGGGAGGGAAAACCACACTTCCCTCCTAGCTCGCTGCCTACAGAAAATCTGCCCCCCCAGCACCACTGATTTTTTCCTTATAAAGTCAGGCTTTAGATATTTTACTCTCTAGGTAATAGCTGAGATACAGCACAAAGGTCACTGTTTTACTTGGTAAAAAGGTTTAACACCTGTTTTCTAATTTTCTCCAAAATTAGTGGTAGTGCTTAACTTTTTAAAAAAATGTCTACTCTGGGGCTTTTATCATGCCTTTTTAAAGAAAGGAAGAACACACACCAGCAAGTGGTATATGTAGTTTCAAAAACTCCCCCTCCCCAAACCCACACAGGAGCCAGCCCGAGGGCCCACACTCACTGCGCAGGCTGGCCATGCTGGGCGCGGGCTGCGTCCGGGGGGGCAGGGTGCTGCGGTAGGGCGGGGTGCTGCTGAAGAGGATGTCGTTGGGCAGCGCCTGGTCCAGAGCCGAGCTGCGGGAGCTGCCGAAGGAGGAGCCCCTCCGGTGGCTGCAGACGCTCTCGTCGGACAGGGTGCGGTACAGCGAGCGTCGAGGGGACAGGTTCCCGTAGAACGAAAACTAGGGGTTGAAACATGGGGGTGGGGAGAAAGCAGACGTCACCGAGCAGAAAGCGTGGCACTGACGTGGCTGAACCCGTGGGTTCACGCGGCACAGTGACCTGTGAGCACGGGTCACCCAGGCGAAGGCACAAGGCCTTCGGTGCACTTATTGGATCGGGATGGTTTCCTTGTGCGACCGTCTGGGAAATATCACCACGGATGAGGCGCACACGGCTCTATTAATTCTGAAATGTGAAATGAACCTCCGTCACCTCAGAGCGCTGGCAGCTCCCGGAAGGCGAGGAGGCTGTCATCTCAGGCGGCCCTTCCTCAAACCCACGCAGAGCGCTGGCTTGACTGTAATTTGAAATGACTCCATTTCAATATTACGCAATGTCTGTGCCAGCCCACTGCATGGGAGGTACAATCCAATCTAAATAGTGATAAAAATCGTTTTGAAGACTGTAGCTTCCTAGACCACACAAACAGGTTAAAAAAAAATGGAATCGGTGAAGTAATATTGGGTTGGCCAAAAAGTTCATTTAGTTTTTTTTTTGGTAAAATAAAAGACATTATTTTTTATTTTTACCAATAACTTTATTGCTTGGCTATTTTGAACATGACAGCTATCTCCTGCGGTATAAGGCTGAATGTTCTCAATTAATGTCCCCATTTGGTTGCTATCAACTTCAACAGGTCTACTGACCACGGAGCAGCACCGTCCAGTGAGGAATCTCCAGCATGCAACTTTGCAAACCACTTTTGACACATTCCATCAGTCACGGCACCTTCTCCACACACTGCACAAATCTTTTTTACTTTCTTGAAGTAATAAAGCATAGTATGCTGAAAATGTGTATTTTCTTCCATGTTCCATATGAAAATGGCCACACAAAAATTCACCAATTTTTTTAATGCACGCTGATATGACAGCTGTCACAATACAATCTAATAAAATTGTTCCCAATGAAGTTAAAGACAACTAAGTGCTACTAGAGCCATCTTAGGGGGAAAAAAAAACAAAAGAACTTTTTGGCCAACCCCATATACTATCTAAGCATCACTCACAAAAGTCTGTTACAATTGTTAAAAACTTATAGTAACGGATCATAACCAGATTTAAAGGAACCATTGAAATGATGGTGCATTTAAAACACATGTAGAGTAAGGAGGGAAATTCTTACTGAAGAAGCAAGTAGTCGACAACTCAGGAAGAATGAAATGAAGTCTGAACTTCCAACTGCTCCCGCACACTGACCCTACTCCTTTCACGCAGGTGGCGGTGAGAGCCAGCATGTTCGAGTCAAACGAATACAGAAATCGCTGTTTACAGCTGTGCAGGCAGCAAGACAGCTACAGAGATCCCTACTGTTCGTGTCCCCTCCCTTCTGTCGAGTCTGTCCCGCTGACGGATGGGGGCTGGTGTGTGCGCGGGCTGCACAGTTAAACGTGAGCCATGAAAAGGGGGTGATTTGTCTTAGAAGGAAAAACCCCACACGTGTCAAGCAGAAGTTCATTCCTATTAAAAGAAAAGCCACTTTTACTCCGGGTACAGGAGGCTGGTCCCCACTTCCAGGACCTTATACACGAGTTGGTACAAGTTAAAAAGAAAAGACTCGTTGGGTGGGACTGAGTTCTTGGGGGACCCCCACTTCACAGGACCAGCAGGTGCCTCAGAACAAGATTACAGGCCTGGCAGATTAAAGCGGCTTTGAGGCGGTGTCTAATTAGAGTGTAACTCTGAAACACAATTAGGTTAATTGCAGTATTATTTTATTACAGGGGAGGCAGAAACCCAGGACTTGGTGTTCACCCCAATCCCAGTTGATGTGGTAATGCTGGATTTTTTCTTCTTTTTTCTTTGCACAAGAGAGAACACTGGATGAGAAGGGAGAAGATGTGGGTTCCACCAAACCTTTTATGTGAATTCGCCTTTCACCATTCAGGGCCTCAGTTACTTGCAGAAAGAGGAGACTGGACTGTAAGACCTGTAAGTCCCTTTTAAAATGCTGTAGTATTTAACAGAGCGGTTGCAGAGACTGTGGTGATAATGAAACTAAAACAAATGCCAGCCAGAGACTGTGGCCTTGTGAACGAAGGCGTGCCTGGGACACGGGCTGGCTTACTAGACTCACGCGCACCTTCCCTGGCACTGCCGTGTGACTTTATCAGACGTGGTCGGGTCCGAGTTCCATCTGATGTAGGATGCTTGGCAGGAGAGACATCGAACTCCCGCCCCTCCTGGAACAGGATTATATCTAAGAGCCTGGAGCAGAGGGAGGAGCTCTTGGAGCAAAAGTCAGGTGGTGTGAATTTTCACAGCGACTATTTCTGATAACCTGTTATGTCCAGGTACCAGGTGAGGTCTGCCCACGTCATTTCTGACCTTTCCTACAGCTCTGCAGTGCCCCGATGACCCCCTCCTTTGTATAGAGGAGGACCCCAGGAGAGAGGCCCAGGCCCTGATGCAGAGGCCCACGGCTGATCGGTGTTGGAGCTGGGACGCGAGGCCAGGCCTCTCGGACGCCAGCCTCTCCTGTCCACGCTAGACAGCTGCCCTTCCCAACCTCCCAGGCTCGCTGACAGGCTAGCACCACAAAGGGCCCACTGTGCCCGCAGCTGTTGGTAGGATCTCCAGGGACCGGTAACACGTGCCGAGGTGCTCTGGGCACCCTCCAGTCTCTAATGCAGAGTTTCCTTTAGTGTTCAGAGAAACGTCAAAGCCCCACAGAAGCCACTCACCTTCCTCCTGCCCTCCCCCGCCAAGGGGCTGTCGGGAAGCATTAACTTCACAAAGTCTTCTTTGGACAGCACATGCTGAGCTTCGGAGACCGCACCCCCCACCACCGCCTGATGCTGAGTCCCTGGGGACAGGAGCTCCATCTCGCCGTACAGCCTGCGGGAGCAAAGCGGAGGGGCGGTGAGGAGGAGTGGCTGGCCCACTCGGACAGTGCCCGTGGCGTTCAGAACCAGCATCCCGCCCCAGTCCCCTCGACTACACGCGGTGCTGCGCGACTCTCGGCTGCTGAGCCCGTCCTCTTCTGCGGCATTCGCTCCACATCCCCACGGCTGTCTGTGAAATGGGCCCAACTGCAAAGTTAGATTTCTGAGTCATTCGGAAACAAATCAGATCCCCTCAAGAGCCCCGGGTGAGAAAAAATACAGCCAGTTTTTAACGTGAGGCTGTGCTTCCCTTTTCCTAACCTGTGTCAGAAAACATAGGTTCAGAGGAGCAGTATCCTGCTCCCTGGAGGGAGCCCCTGTGCTTCCCAGAAGCGTGAGACAGCCACACCCTGCATCTCAGGGCAGGCAGAAAGGCCCCCCAGGGAGCCTGGAATTTAGGAGTAATCGATTCGGGCATGTGCCAAGCATGTTTTATTATCGGCAATTTCACAAAGCTGTTTAGATAAATAAAGCAGCTGTCTCCCTTAATTATGAGCATATAAAAATGTATTTATGGACAACAAAGGGCAGCCTAGCTGACTTTCTGTTTTCAGCTCTTTTCCAGGGAGAAAACTGGGGAGTTGCTTTTCAAAGGGGCGCTCTGCAAACACGGTCTGAGCTGCCCAATGCGCTTGCGGACACCATGGCTGAACAGGGCCGGGGAGGCGCGTGTCGGCCACACGACCCGAGACGCAGGCTGCGGGAATCCAGGCCCCGGGCGGCCGGCAGCAGGGTGACCTGGGTGACGCGGCTGTGTGTCACCGAGAGGACGCTGGTTCAGAAGCAAGGCCACCCTGACCCGAGAGTGACAGCTCCCTGGGAACTCAGCGGAGTGAGATACTCAGAGACACGCTCAGGACGCACGGTGATTTATCTGGACGTGTCCGTGGCTTCTGCTCGGTTCCCGAGGCAGGTGGGGTTCCCTGCGCGTCTGAGACCTGGCGGCAGCACCAGCTCACTGCCAGCGTGAAGGGACAGCAGCTGTGAGGCGCAGCTTCTGAAAACGTTCAGAACGTGACCGACAACGTGGCCGGCCTGCGGGTGGCCCGGCAGCTGTGTGCAAAGCCACAGAGGGGGGGAGCCGTGTGGAGGCGAGCTGCAGGGGGCTTCCGAGCAGACGTGGAGCTGGGGGTGCTCACGAGCGGCCCCCATCACGAGCTTTGGCAGAGACCAAGTTTGAAACCCAGGTCCCCGCAGTAACTGCCCGGATAAAATCTACTGCCTACGCAGGCGACCCGGGAACACCCCCGAAACTTGACTAACAGTCTGCTGTTGACTTAAGCAGTCCAGTATCAAATATGCTGCGTGTTATGTTTTATATATGGTATTCTTATAATAAAATAACCTAGAAAAAAGAAAACACTCTTAAAAAAAACACGAGGAAGAGAAAATACACTGGAAAAACGCACACACACACAGGTCTGTGCAGTCCAACCCGTGCTGCTCACGCTGATCTTGTAGCAGGGACACGCCTGGGAACCCTCTGTTTCTGCCTCAGTGACCTGAAGGGCTTTGGGGGTGGGGGGAGAACCACGGGGAGAAGAGCGGACACCCCCACAGTGCCAAGGCACACCTCAGGGCTACTTGAATCAGGGTGCAGCTCTTGTTAGCTGCATTTTAAACTAGGAGGTTACATTACTAAAAAAAAAAAAAAAAAAGCTCAATGATTTTAAAAATAACTGGCTATTTCAGAGTGACAGACACTTCTGGAGGCACAATGGTTTCCTGTTCCGTGTTCACCGAGACCGTAGCGTTCCACCGGCCACTCACCAGGTGCAGACGCACTGCACTCGGATGACCTTTCTCTGAGCATCTGCTCCAGTGGCTCGGTGAACAGGGCTGTGACAGAATTGCAGACCTAGTCAGTGCAGTCCTGTGTGACTGCAGGGCTTACACAGGCGCCTCTTGTGTCTTCTCCTTTTAGAGGCACTTTCCTTGGCTGCATGAGGCCTGGGGCACCAGGCCGAGCCCAGCGCAGTGAAGGGGCCTGGCCTGAGGCTGGGAGGCCTGGGTTCAAATCCCAACACGACTCTCACGTGAGGCCGGGAAATTAGTGCTCTGCTACCTAGCGATGCAGCCCCCTTCTCACGGCCTTCCTGACGCCGCCTCTCTCACCGGGAGCCAGGTCATCAACGCAGGGGCTCAGACGCACGCCCTGCGGGGCTCGAGGGGAAATGCCTGACTGCGGGGTGGGGGCAGCCCGGGGCTGACGCGGACCTGCGACATGCTTTCACAGATGCTTCCTAGAGCGCAAAGGCTTGGGGTGAGTGTCCAGGAAGCACGCAGAAGACTGTGTCAGGCAGAAATACCGGGATTATCAGAGCATCTGCATTTATGTCTTAAACAATGTACTTACTACTAGAAAACTACTTTCTTAAAAAACTTATTTGCAATTATTGACCTGATGGATTTTTTTTTTTTTTACTAAAAGATTCCGAGTTCCATTTTACCACTAAAATGACTCTTAATGTAAAAGGCAGTATTGATGCTGGCCGTATTTTGTGAAGTAGACCACTTTTAAAGGGGAAAACAAAGGGAGGCCAGTTCATTCGCCGAGCGCCAGACCCAGACGAGCTCTCTGAGGTCCAGGCAGCCCGGCCCTCATGCCGTCGGCATGGGCGGCCCCAGTGCACCCGGCCCGCACCCTTTGGGGTGCCCAGGACCGCGCCCTGCAGGGCACCCAGCCCGCATCCTCCAGGGCACGTGGACCGAGTCCTTTGGGGCACACGGGCTTCGTCTCAATGCCGTCCTTGCACAAACACGCAAACCAGTGGCTGGCTGAGACCCGCCAGCCTTGCTGTGCAACCTGAAATACGTGTTGTCAGTGTGGTTTTCACAACGTAATGACTAAGTTGTCAGTATTTTTGGTCTTCTCTGTTTTCAAATGGATGAAAACACCCCTCCCTACCTGCCCCCACTGACCCTAACCACCACTGAAGGGGAAATCGGTCACGGTGAAGCTGGATGAGACACTTTCTGTTTCCGGGTGTTGCTTAAACATCGGCTTTAAGAAAGGCACACGGACTCTGTGGGAGCTCAGATCGTCCTTGAACTTGTTTATTCTCAGGCTCGATGCCGACGCCGTCAGCAGGACCCTGCCACGATTTTTCTCTCTCTCCCAGGCCCGTCGTGAGTACAAAGAACAGGGTCTCCTTTAATTTTATGTGCAAAAACAAGGGCAGGGAAGACTTTTAAAGAGAAAGATAAATGCCAACATCTAAAGAGTTTTACAAAGAGGTTTCTAAATCATTCTTCTTTAGAAAACATATTCTGATGGCGGGGTGGGGGCACAGTTGCTTATCCGGTCCCCCAGAGGTACCAGGCCGCCCAGAGAGGACCCGGGGGCATGCTAGCCACCTTACCCCTGGCACTCGGTCACTTCGGGCTCCTCGGGCGGCGGGCTGCCCTCCGACTTCTTCCAGCCGATGACGTACTTGCTCACGGCGCCCTGCCTGTGGTAGGGCTTGCCCATGGGCCCCGGGGCCGGCGGGCCGCTGCCGTGGGACACGATGTAGACTTTGGACGTGTCCAGAGAGCCGGTGGCTTTGGAACAGTGGGCCGAGGGGCTTCCCGAGTGGTGCGAGCCGCTGCGGAGAGAACAGACAAGGCTGCAGCGTCACTGGAGCTCAGCGGTACTGGCCTGTCACCACGCTCACAGCCACACGCTCTGCTCCTGTCCCCGTGAGAAGGGCTGGGCTGCGGGAGGCGGAGACGCGGTCGCTCCACATGCGCCCTGTCCGAGCGCCTCAGTCTCCACGGGCTAAGGACACTCAAGGGCAAGATGTGTGTCTGGGGCAGGAGCATGTTAGACACGCAGCACGGGGCAGGGAACAGAGAAATGGGCAAGGTCCTCAGACAATGCTTCCAAAGCGAGAAAGTCCCGTGGTGAATCAACGTAAGGGAAGGTGCTGGACCGCGGCTGTCGCCGGGGAAATGCCAGTGCAGGCCGAGAAGATCTCGGCGCATTCACCAGACGGGCAAACACGGGAACGTCTGACGAAGGATGCCCGGAGTCGGCCACGGCTTGGAGCAGTGGGTCCCCTCCCGCCGCCGGCGGAGGGGAGAGTGTGTGACAGTCGCAAGGCAGTCTGGGCGTGACCTGTGAAGGCGTACGTCCGCACAGCACCTGACCCAGCACCCTCCTCAGTGTCCACCCTGCACAGACTCCTGTGCATGTGCTCCTGGGGCCAGGTAACGCTGCTGACAGGAGCACCGATCTTAACAGGTCCTCCGGGGTGGCCCCGGAGTGGTCCGCTGGTGAACTGCTAGCATGAGAACTCCGTGTCTAGGCCGTGGGCTCTGAAGGCACACGTGTTCTTCCCTGAGCTTCTTACTGAATAAAAACTTCAGATCTACAGAAAAGGTATCAAAACAGCACAGTAACACCCCTGCTCCCTTTCTCCAGACTCACTCCGTGCCACTGCCTTGCTGCCCGGCACTACCCCGTCCCTACGCGTGCCCCTGCGAACCGTGTGGGGATTCGCTGCACACCCGATGACATCACGCCCCGAGGCTTCAGTGCCCGTCTGCTGGTGAGGACACTCCCCCACACAGGGACAGCGTGACCAGCACCCTCAGGAACGGGGCGTCAGGGCCGTGTCGCTAACACACGGCCCATGATCTAACTCCTCAGCTGTCCCCGTAATGCTTGTGGCTTTGGCCCCGCCATCTGGACCAGCGAAGAGCCATGTGCTGCCCTTACCCACCACGGGCACGCGCCTTTCAAAGGCTTTGTTATCCCCGAGATGGTCCACGGTCACGGCACGCCCGGGGGGCCCAGGGTCCGGTCTGGTTAATACGCTGCATAAGCTACTCCCATGTCCCCACCGGAGTGACCGGATCCAGCCTTTGCTGAGAACGTGCTGTGAGTGATGAAGGCACGGTCACTGACCCTACGTGGTTTTCCATTTGTTCTTCATAGACGATGCTGTTGTGACTCGGAGCTGATTAAAAATCTTTACCCCCGATAGTAAAAGTGACACTTTAAAGTGACACTGTGAGAACAAACTGACTCTATCTGATGGGTGATAGGGCAGAAATCCCTGTTTAGCAGCAGTAGCCTCATTCTAAAAGTTGTCTCTGAAGCTGGCAAACATTCTAGATGTCGGCAACTAGCTTTCCGCGAATCTCTTCCTTCTCGAGATCTTACTTTGGAGTTTCAATGCCAAGTCCCTGTCATTTGTACCTGGGAAAGGGCATGATGACAGGCACAGTGACAAAACGGAGACCGTCACGGGCCATCTGCAGAAGACCCTAGAACACGATTTCTTTCCTCTCTTTTCCTGCAGTGGATTCATTTTGCTTTGCCAAACCTTGGTGAGGCTCACGTGAATGCTGCTTTGTGTCCCGAGCTCTTATCTACGTGTCCTGGCCTCGCAGCAAGAAAAAAATGGATTTTCTGAATTAAAAGGACCGAACGGTAGGAGAAAGTAGGCCAGGCACACGCTTGTCCTACCGAATGGATGAGTCCCGCACCCCCACCCCGAAATCGTCCCGAAGGGCTTGAAGTCCCCCTCCCCCTCCTCCGTGCCGTCCTGGGGTCACACCACACACAGCGTCTGACCTGTTCCTTCCCGGACGGCTGTTGGGAGTGAGCGTGGGCACTGCTGGGCTGGAGAGGGGAGGTGGGGAGTGGGCATGGGTGCTGCTGGGCTGGAGAGGGGAGGTGGGGAGTGGGCATGGGTGCTGCTGGGCTGGAGGGGGGAGGCGGGAAGTGGGCATGGGTGCTGCTGGGCTGGAGGGGGGAGGTGGGGAATGGGCGTGGGTGCTGCTGGGCTGGAGGGGGGAGGCGGGGAGTGGGCATGGGTGCTGCTGGGCTGGAGGGGGGAGGTGGGGAGTGAGCGTGGGCGCTGCTGGGCTGGAGAGGGGAGGTGGGGAGTGGGCATGGGTGCTGCTGGGCTGGAGAGGGGAGGCAGGGAGTGGGCGGGGAGTGAGCGTGGGTGCTGCTGGGCTGGAGGGGGGAGGTGGAGGGGGGCAGGGTTAGAAGACTGAGAAGCTGCAGCGCATCGCTCTGGGCCCGGACCCTGTGCACCCGGAGCAGCTGCTCCCACGGCCTCCCACCGCCCTGGGCAGTCCAGGCGCGAGCTCGCTGGCGCTCCTCTCCTAGTTCCCTCCTCCGTTCTTTCTCGGGACACTCGCTGCGCGCCACGCAGCAGCAGCACCTGAAGCTCACACGATTGCAGGTGGGCTGCGTGCGTGCTGAGAGGAGACCAAAGCCTGGGCCGGGAATACAGGGTGCTCGGGGCTGAGGTCGCCCGAGGCAGGTGTCCGCGCTGACGTCCACCCCGGAAGAGGTGAATCTGTCCTTCTGCTGCTGGACCTCGCCAGGCACAGCCCAGGCCCGGAGCAGTGGGTGGGCCTCCACTGCGAGGGGACCGCGCGCCAGTCTGGACGGAGACGCCGGAGGAAACAAGGGACAGACGACGGCCACCCTCGGGGACACACACGTCCCCCAGCCCGGCCCTGGCACTCAGAATTCTCAGAACCTCAGCTCACCTTTGACAGGGTGGTCCCTGGTTCTCCAAGGAGCCAGGTCCCTTTCCTCTCAACACACAGATGTTAAATGGAAAATGTTAATGTGTTTGACACTTAGAAACATTTACATGTTTCAAGTGTATCTGAAATTCTCAAGTCCTCTTGCACAGGTAGGGGACAGAGAGAAGGAAACATTCAAAAGATTCAATTTCATACAGAAGCCTTGCACGCAAGTGGGAGTGTGGCTGCAGAATCACCAGCAACCACGAACGGCAGGGAACATACAGGCGGGTGGGGGGGACGACCCACCCACTAGGCACGTGCCACGCCCACGGCGGCTGTGCGGAGAGTCCACGTAAAGTGGTGGAAGAGGCAGGATCAATCAGACATTCTATCTAGCACTTTTATATCCTTTCTAACAGTCTGAACTCTGGAGTGCGTGACTGGTTAAGGTATTAAAGGAACCTACTTTAAGGATCCCCGCCTCTATTTATACACAAACGTGCTCTGAGAGCAGTCTCCACAGAAATTTTCCTTCATGGTAATTAATACCCAATCACATTTGTTTAACGAGGTCTCACGAAATCAGCAGCTTTGTAAGTCCTCTCAACTCTGAGCAAGGCATCAGAAAGTCATAAAATCCCAAGAGGGTTTCTGTGATATGGCCAACACTCTACTGTCCCTGGAATTAAGATAGAAACAGATTGGGTAGCCAGAGTCAGTATTAAGACTCATGTATTATCTTCGTTATATGTTAAATTGTATATAGTGAAAGAGAACTGAGAAGGAGTTGGGGTGTCTATTTGGAGAACGGTCTCGATCTCCTAGGCTCCCCCTGCCTCCACGCCCCCTTCCCCGGGAAACCCCACCGTGCTGTCCTCTGGGGCAGTGGCTTTCTTCAGCAGCGCGGTCTGGCAGGACTGACCCTCGGCCACAGCAGAGAGCCCCGCCAGCCGTAAACCGGTGGTGCCCCAAACCACAGTGCGCGCAGCCAGGGATGTGTGAGGAGATGCTGGGGGCAGGGGGTGGGGGGGGGGAGTTCTGCAGAGACTAGGGAAGAACCACGTTGTCTGCCTGTGACAGAGGCGCACGAACACGGGAGGCCTGCAGGTGACAGAGCCGTTTCCAACCAAGAGGGGGGCACCAAGATTTCAGGGGCTGTCCCAGGTAACCTGTGGATAGAGGGGCCCGGCTTTGGGTGACACTGTCTGGGCTTCTGGGTCAAGCAGAACCTTGACGGTGCTGGACCCCGATCAGTCACGCGAGCCCAAACACTACTTCTGTTGTGGGACCCAAGCAGGGTGGAGCTTTCTTCACCTTGTCACGTAAACGCCCCTGAATGACCCACACGATCCTGAGACGCCGTGTGGAAGGGAGAGCTGGGGAGCACAGGCCTGTGTGTGACTCTGCTGCAGCGCCGTCCACTGTGGGAGAAAAGCTCCAGCCACCGGCCGGAGGATGCGCGGGACACCCCCAGGTCGGCCCAGCTGCCCGTCCTCCAGCGCTGAGACGCATCCTGGGGAATTGGGGAGGAGCCAGGGGCTGCACCGGGCCAGACCGAGGGTGGGAAGGCAAGCGCCGCCGTGCTGGCCGGCGGGCGGCAGCTACGGTCGGCCCACAGCCGAGCCTGAGGCCGTCCTGCTTCGCCTCGCCTTCCAAGGCTGGGATCCCCAAGGACGAGGTCTAAAACCACTGTGCAAGCACCTGTCCAACAGTCCAACCCTGCTCTTCACTACATGTCACACACCTGCGGTCAGAGCATCATTCCTCTGCGTGTAGCTGGTCTTTGCTTTCTAGAAGTCGGACCGTGGGTGCGCACAGACGCGCACCATCACACAGAACACCGCAGGCTTCCCTCCCATAAGGGGCCTCGGGAGCGGAGAACCAGCCGGCACGGGCCTTTCTCGTGGGGACGACGCGCAGACCACGCAGAGGCCACCCCCGCCTTCTCCCCAGTGACTGCCCACTGCACCCTGAGTTCTGTTTAGCTGGCCGCGACTCCTAACAATTAGGGACAACAGGTTGAATTGGGGGAGACAGGTAAGAAGCCTGACCAGAGCAAGTAACATCTCCGTTTCATTTTCTCTCAGATTTTGAGAAAGGGAAATAAACCACAAACAAGCAGGCAGACCGTTGAGCAAACAGGTGACGTTGTATCTCAGCCACACGCTGTTCCTCTCTCAGGCCCCTGCCCCCACCCCGCAGGCGACTAAACCCAGGGGGCCCTGGCGACTCAGCAGGTGAGAGCTGCAGGCACTCACCTGGAGTGAGAGGAGATCTCGCTGAGGTCGCCCAGGCTGCCGCCGGCAGGGCCGCTGGCGCAGCCGGTGGGGGCGTAGCCGTGGACCGCGTAAATCTTCGCCTGCTCGTCCTCGGGCCCCGAGATGTCGGCGGAGTCGGCCCACTGCTCCGCACGGCTGTGGACCAGGGATCTGCTGCCCGCCAGGTGCACGGGGCCCAGGCCCGCGGCGGGCATGCAGGGGGCTGTGTCGATGCCGCTGTCGGTGGACGCCCCTTTCAGGTAGGTCAGCCCCAGCAGCTCCGGGTCCATCAGGTCCCCCGACCCGAAGTGCTTGTCGTCGCTGTTGCTGGAGGTGTTGCTGGACAGCGTGTTGCTGCTGGAGTGGCTGGAGCAGCTCTTGTCCCCGATCTGGGGGAGAGAGACAGCAGGGCTCAGTCCAGGCCGTGCACACGCGCCTTGCTCCCCTGCACAGCCGGCCGCTGCTGCGTTCTCTGCAGGCGCAGGGCCCTGTGACCTGAGCCCAGCCCGCTCATCTGTCAGCGCGGTCCCTCCCGCGGGCCTGGGAGGTGGGCAGCAGTCCGTGGCAACGAAGCGTATTTAAAGAGGGCGGGCACACTTGTTTTCCTTCTTCTTTTTGGATATAATGCCGGTGGCACACTCACCAGACCGCGGTGCAGTGCAAACAGCACTCCGACACGCCCTGGGAAACCACAGATCCTGTGACTCGCTGTGCGGACACCCACTTTACCCCCGTGAGGGGAACCGAAGCCGCCCCGTGTCCGAGGTGAGCCTGCGCGCTGCTCCGTTAGGACTGCGACCGTGCTCGCCAGACTCACAAAGCTACAGACCAGACGAGCTCGCCGCAGCCCTTTCTGCTCGCGCTTCAAAGCGAGGCAACGGTCGAAGGACAGAAAGGAAAACAGCCTGGGCTCTGATCCCCACTCCTCCCTCAGTTCACCTCACGTTACACGGGAATCTTTTCAAGCCTTTGTTCGCCATCCATGCACGAGGCCCGGGAGCACCGCCACGGTGTCAGGGACCAGAAGACAACCGACTTGGGCTAATGAACTGGGACCGCACAGGGAAAATTAATAAAAGGAGGGGAGCAGCCTTTTCTCAGGAAAATGCTTCGATGACAAATCCCAGTGCCAGCCGCGGTCAGGCGGGAGAGCCGGGCTGAGCCACAGGGAGAGGGTGCTGTCGCCCTGAGCCCCTCTCGGCGAGGGTGGAGGGGGATGTGGAGCTCACGTGACCGACTATGGACCCCCCCCCCCCCCCGCCCGAGGAGGCACAAGCAGGCGCTCGCGGCCCCGTGCTACCGAGGTGGGCTCTCTGCAGAGGACGCACGGGGGCTTCGGGGTCCCTGGGAGACAAAGTCTGCGGAGGGCAGAGTACGTGTCCCCGCCTGACCGCAGTGCTCACACGGGCCCTGGCCACAGCCTGGGGACACGATCGAGCCCTGGAGCCTCAGCAAAGGCCGGGGAACCAAGCCGGCCCGAGCCTTCTCTCATCCAGAGAGAGCTGTCGGGTCCCGAAGCAGACCCCCGGCCTCTTCGTCACACCCCAGCGTTCTGTTCTCAAGCCCGCGGCCCTGGGAGAGCGGCGCCGATGGAATCCGGCAGACGCTGTGAAGCTGACCCCAGCGGGGCCACGGAGTGGGCAGTGTCACGCGTGTGCACCGAGAGGCAAGGCGCACTCCGCCCGGGCGCTGACAACATCTCCTCCCCTGCACGTTTACAAAAATAAGCTACTTCAAAGGTTGGCCTTACTGGGCAACGACTGACAGTCCACGTTTTCACGTTTAACAGCATCTTTGGTTTCCCTGAGCTGGTCACCTGCAAGACTCACCCTCGGGGCTGTGGCGAGGAGCACACACACAGCCCACCCGCGAGTCACCTGCGCTGCTGCCGTGGCCCGTTGGTGGCTGTGTGTGCACACTCACCTGTGTGCACACTCACCTGTGTGTGTGAGACACTAACCGGCCTGCCCCGGGCAGAGTGTCTCCGACCAGATGCTTAGCAGACCGAAACAGGAACACGGGTTAGTAACTGTCAGGGCTGGGTTCAGGGTCAAAGGGCTGAGGGTGCCCTCGTGGCTTTACAGTAATTTACTCTGAGACCTTTCTTTGAGGTTCTTCATAAATCGAGGAGAGAAAAGTTCTTGACTTTCTATTTGTTCACTGTTTCGCCTCAGCTCTCAGCGACCTGCCAGGTTCAAGGGCACGCCCTGACAATGCGGCTAACGAGGCATCGGAACGGCTGCACGGCGACCCGCTCAGGACGACGGGACTTACGTGAGAAAGCTTATTGGGGGAGTCTTTGCACGCTCCGTCCTTCTGCAGGCCTCTCTCCTTGTAGGAACTCAGGACTTTGGAGGGCGGGCCGTGCCACTTGGTTTCTGCCGCACACAGAGGGGAGAGCTGAGTATCTGATCTCTAGAGGCAGCAAAAGGGCAAAGGGACACGGGGGGCGAACAGGCCCTCTGGTGGAAATAAAGAGGGTCGTGGTCCCAAGACTTTCTGGTCTGACCAGTGGGTCTGCGCAGGAGTGGGCAGGACCCCGCCCCCCAAAGGTAACAGTGGTCCGTTTCCACAGGCCCACCAGCAGCGTGCCCACGTCCTCGGTGGCACAGTGGCACGCCCCAACCGTGCACTGCGTGAATGCGTGATGGGACCGGGAGGGGGCAGGAGGGCAGGGCTGGCTGCGGGCGGGGGTGGGGGCTGCCCGTGGGCCCCGAGGTACCTGGGTGTCTGCTCCCGTCGGCGGCGTCCTCCCGCTCCCTGGCCCCTTCGCACTCCAGGGGGCCCGGGCCCTGGTGCTCCAGCAGCAGGGGAGACTGGCACCTGGGAAGAAGACAGAGCTGACCGCGGCCACCGCTGCCGTCCCACCGCCGTGGCCCGGGGAGCTGGCTCCTACACGGGCGCCCCAAGGGAGGAGACCCCTAACGAGACGCGATCTGTGGCAGGCGCGCAGGGCCCGTCCACCCGGCCCCGTCAGAGAGGGTTCGAGCGTCTGGCACTGGGCTCCAGTTCCTCCACGCGGCCAGTGGGGGCACCTGGACGACAGTCCTTTACAGATGGAGAAGGGCCGCTGACACCAGCCGGTGAAAGGGCTCTCGCCCCCAGCAAGCCAGAAGGGAGACCACTGCTTCCGTTCTTCTTGTGCCCAGAACACATGCCACTGACGCTTCTGTGAGTGACACTTGGTAAGGAAGGGAAATAAGACGGACTGGCTGTGGACTACCTCCATGTGGACTGCATTTTATGCAAAATAGGGCAATACAAAATTACAAAAGAAATAAATCTCAGAAAACTTGATTATAAAGTGGTTCTCATTTCCAGAATCCCGGCCACAGATCCTGGTTTGCATAAAAAGCCAGGAATGGTTTCTCCATCGATACAAGAAAACTCCCTTCTGCTTTCAATATGCAACTCCACTGGGAAAACTGTCCTTCTGTACAGCTTTTAGGAATCCCATCTATTGTTTAAGGAAAGGGGACTGCACCTCAGACTGAACGTGCCTGCTCCCGAGCCCAGACGGGTGGGGGAGAGGGCTCTCGGAAGACGCTTCCCTCTGGGAACCGAGCCGTCCCCATCTGACCTGCCATTCTCGCCTCTAAATCCCCGCACCCAACCGGCTCCTTCCAAAGCAGAGGCTCGGCTCCACCTCGGAGCAGCCGGGGCACACTGCCGGAGGAGCAGCCGCCATCACGTGGGCAGCCCACGGCCTCGCCTCCCCCTTTGTTTGTCCTCCCCCAGGTGTGGAACTGCTTCCCCTAGTGAGAGCATCAGCCAGCTCCACGTCTCCATGTTCCCAGGTGCCCCGGGCTCCACCTGACCTGCTGGCACCCAGACACCAGGTGAACGGACACCGCCCGGGCCGGCCCCCCCCACCCTCCTCTGCCAGGAGGCAGGAAAGAGGCGTCGAAGGCTGAACCAGCCTTCCCTGACGCCGGGCTCTGCTTCAGAGAAAAAGCACATTCAGGAGAGCCTGAATTTATTCCTCGTCAGCAATTCAAGGAGGGGACTCTCCCAGGGGCACTGCCCAGAGAGCCCCCAAACCGTTAATTTTCACATGCTTTGCACATCCAAGAGAAGAAGCAGACACACCTGGAAGTGCAGGCAAACAAGCATTGGCTACCTAGATGGAGACAGCGAGCCTTCTGGCCGTCTGCACAGACTGGTGGGAAGCCCGCCTGACACTCTGCACACCCCATCCCAACACCCCCCTTCCCCCCGCCGAGTCGGCCTCTCACAGCTGGTGCGGCCCGAGGGTGGGGCCCTGAGGGTGGGGGTGAGCGTACCCGTCGTAGGCCACTTGCGGTCGCCAGGGCCCGCTGCCGCCGGGTCCGGGGTCGCTGGAGGATGACTGGTTGCTGGGCGAGCTTCTGCAACGGGGACCAGAGTCAGTGCCAGGGCGCCGCCGCGCTCCCCGTGCGGCGCCCACACCCTGACCTGCTTGTTCTACAAGCGGATTCCGTCTCCCGAGGAGAAACGCATGTTGAAGACCCACCGCCAGGCGGAACAGAATAAATCGTGGACACGTAGATGGAAAGTTAATGACGCTGTGAGACCTCGGGTGGCTGACGGCTGGCACTCTGTCACAGGAAAGACGTGGCAGGAACAAGCCTTCACGTCTGAAGGGTTGCCGCGCAGACCGCGACCCGGGGAAGCGTGGGGAACCAGCCCTGTGACCCCCAGGAACACACAATTCCGCAAACATCACGGCTACTTGTGTGTGACTCTCACCACAAGGTGCATTTCTACTCTCTGTGCACAATCTGTGCAGAGAGAAAGCCCTGAATCCGGCAAACGCAGTCTCGTTTGTTCCTGCCTCTCTCAGACACACAGATGAGAAGGGCTCACAAGAACTCGCTTGGGGAAGACATGCTTGCCATGGGCTGCAGGGACCCTCCCGGTTTTGCCCTATAATTTGCTAACTTCCACTTCACGAGGGGAGGCCCTGCAGAGCCCTGCCCTACCAGCATCACCTTCTCACCTGGGCTGCCTGTGTGCACTTCTCGGAACGTGGGGCGTGTGTAAGCTCAGCAGACGCTTGCGTGAGGGGACCCAGAGCCGAGCTGACTTCACTTCAGGTTAAAGCAACCCCCTTCCTGCACTCACTCCAGAAAGGATGATGGGAGGAAGCAGAGGAGGACTGCATGGTTTTTTATTCATCAACTAGTCATCATGAAAACTTGCCCAGGCCTCCTGCGGGCCAGCAACGGCTCTAAGCACTTTACACATGGTGACGGATTCGAGCCTCATAAAGCCCCAGAGAGGCCTCTGTTACTAGCGAGTCTACTCCTCGGAAGAGCAGAGACTGGAGGCTGGACGAGGCCAGGTGGCAGCCCTGGGTCACCACGCGGCCAGGGTGCAGGCCGGCACCTGCGCTCACAATGCTCTGCCTGCTCTGCCAGCCCAGAGCCCCGTGAGCCGCTGTGAGGGCACGCTGGCGTCCCCACGGCCGCGGGCTGCGTGACAGCTGAAACCAGGGGTGGGAAGTAACGATGCCGAGACAAGGTTGCTGTTTGTTCGCTTGGGACAACCTGTGCAAATCCCGCATCAAAAAATGCTCACCAGCGTCTGATGCCGTTGGCTTTAACTTTAAAGTGAGTGCATTCTCACTGAAAAATTAATTTAAACTTAACTTGCTCTGCTGAAAGTGGGAGAAAAGTAAAAAAAAAATGCTAGTGATTGCGGACCTCTTGAAACACTGCCCACATTAGGGTGATGGCATTTAATCATCGACTGGGCAGTTCTGTTTATGCTCAAAACCATTGACACGTATCTGGAGGGCCGTGCCCAAGGGTTTCTTGGGGCCTTTCCCAGGATGGGGTGGAGAGTGAGTGGGCCAGGTGGGTCACGGATGGTGGGCGGAATCCTCGGTTAGGACCCTCGCTTTCTTTAACTTCATTTTCCAGCTGAGTCGACACCCCGCATTACATTGGTGCAGGTGCACAAAGGTGACTGGGCATCGCTGGGCCAGGGGCAGGACGGTCCCAGAAGCCCCTGCGCCTGCTGCCCCAGCCCTGCCCTGTCTGCCACCATGCTCAGGAGGAGCTGACTCAGAGGCCACGAGGCCGAACGAAAGCCAGCACCTCCCACCATCCGGAGTCACGGTGCCGGCCGGCCGTACCTGGTGCCGTCAGGCAGCTTGCGGTCGAAGGAGGTGCTGCGTGGGATGGCGGCTGGGGCCTGCTGCCGCAGCTGCTGGCCCTGCAGCCGGTCGAGCGCTCCGGGCGCGGGTGAGGCTCTGGGCAGCGGCTGCAGGGCCGGGGTGGGCACCCGGTGCCACGTGGTGTTCCTCCGAAAGGGGGTTTTGTACTCGCAGGGGGTGCCCTCGCTGTCCAGCTTGTACTCCACCATGGGGATCCGGCAGAGCTCGGAACAGCCTCTGTGGGGCAAGGGGAGACGGTGAGACGGGAGGCTCGGCGCTGTGGGCTCGGCTCCGTGCAGCCGTGTGCGCTTGTCAGGGCCCACAGGCCACGAGGCGGCCGCTCCGTCCAGGGAGCAGCGCTCCACCTGTGGTGGAGAGCACGCCCCGACTATCCGGGTCCTCCGCTGCCTCCAACCGCCGCGTCTGGGGATTAACGGCGCTCTGCGCTCCCAGCCTGGCTGCTCCGCCTCACCATGCTGAAGGCTCAAACAGTGAAATAAGGGGGCACGGAGCTCCTGCCCCGGCCCCCCACTGAGGAACTCAAAGGGTTCCACCTGGCACCAGCGAGGCCCCCAGGACCCGCAGGCTGTCAAATGAGGTAAGCACACTCTGCAGACCACAGCTCCATCGTGGGGAGCAACGGGAGCAGTCGGCCCGGCAGCCCAGGGACCCGGAACGCCCTGCGCAGAGTGACCGGGCAGAGCCTGGCTGCACTCCCATCACCTCGTTCCCACCCAAGGACCCTGGAGGTAACCCGCTCCAACCTCCCTGAGTCCCTCCTAGGGAGGGTGGAAATGCCGGCCACCTTGCTTGTGGTGGCCATGCCACACGCGACACAACTCAGCCGCGTGCACTGCACCTGAGCGGCCTACTGGGCATCGACGCTCAGTGCAGGTGTGAGAAAGAGCTCCCTGCAGCAGATGGAGGCTCCCTCCCACCCTGCAGCCGCTGCTCATAGATGCCTTTGGTTAAAGGTGGCCTTCCGGGAGGCCAGCCCACGCAGCGACCCGAGAGCTGGGCCACAGCTGACGGCCTGCATGGACGGGGCTGGCAGGTTGTGGCTACTCAGTTTCTCTGTCTGTCGCCCCCACCTGTTTACAAGTAACCCCAGAGAGTCCTCTTCTGGAAACATCCACACGCCTCAAGCTCCCTCTAGAGCTGCGTGGCCCACAGGGCAGCCCCCGTGAGGTGAGGCGGCAGGGCCTTGAAACGGGGCAGAGCGACAGAGGAGCGCAGCGACCAGATCACAGGTCACCTCCAGACCGGACACCGACTCGGGCCCTTCCTGTGTCAGTACGGCTGAGATGGCGTGCATACGCGGACCTACTGTCACAGCTGAAAGTTTCATGAGACCTAAACACAGCAAGTATTTGGGATGAAAATTTCCCATCTAGACTGACTGTAGGTGTAAAACACACCCTGGATTTCAAAGACCTAATGAAAAAAGTAACATGAGCTAATAATCTCACTAATAATTTTTAATATTTATTGGCTGTTGAAATAATATTTGGGACATTAAGTTAAACAAAATATAGGATTAGAAATAATTTCCCGTGTTAAATAAAACGTTTTTAACATGGCTGCTGGAAAAGCCAGCGGGCTGGCCCACCCACAGTCCCCGCACACCCTGCCTCCCCCCGACTGTCCGGCCCCGTGTTCCCCCACCTGGCAACCATGTCTCCCGATCTGGCCCAAGACTCAGCGCACACCCCACTTCTCCCCAAGGTTAGCAGACTCTGCTGAGCAGCACGAAGGCCAGCGGCAAGCCATGTGTGGTCAGCATGGTGTCCTGCGGGGGGACACAGGCTGAGGGTAGGATGGGGGGGCTGGATCTCAGTGATTTCTCATCGTGCCTTCGGGACGCCAACCAGCACGTGCCCGAGGCAGCCGTTCCCTGGCTTGCGGTGACCCGGTCTATCTCCGGCCCGGTGGGACGTAGGCTCGTGCTGTGGCCCTGGCTGAGGGCCAGTGATCGCCACTGGGCCTCTCGTGTGCACACGGTCTCTATCCAGCTGGTCTGCAAACTTCCTGGACAGACCTGGATTTACCTTTAACCCATCGGTATACAAGGAATCACGCACAGTGAACACGGGCAATGCAAAGTTTTAATAGTTCAGCCCTGGCCAGTGTGGCTCAGTTGGTTGGGGCATCATCCTGTGGGCTGAAGGGTCATGGGTTCGAATCCCAGTCAGAGCATGTACCCAGGTTGCAGGTTCAATCCCCAGATGGGATGCATATGGGAAGGCAACCAATTGATGTCCGTCTCTCACATTGATGCCATTCCCCCACCCTCTCTAAAACCAATGAAAAATGTCTTTGGGTGAGTATAAAAAAAAAAACTTTAACAGTTGAAAACTGTCTCATGCATAATCTGAACAGGTATTTCCAACTGCATTTGCACCACCAGGAGCCAGAGTCACATGTCACATTTTCTACTGAGTCTGAACAAAGTGAGAAACAGAATCAGGGAAAGCTGTCACAATCACGGGGAAACCCGGGTGTCCCTCCTGCCAAAGTCACCACCGTCCGTCTCCAAGCTGGCGCTGCAGCCCCCACAGGCCACCCCCGGCGTGCTCTGCCACGTGCTGCAGCGGCCGGCCGGGAACCCCAGCCTGGAAGCAGGGTTCCCGTTAGACTCCCTTGGGTCTCCCACTGGTGACACGGAGCAGTCAGGGCTGTTCACTCGACCAGAGTCAGCTGGTGACACTGACTGGTCCAGTCTGGCAGGGATGAGGGGTAACTGGGGAGGCTCTGAATACGAGGGTCAGGGCACGTCACCCCAATTCCCTGCCCCGACAGGCGGTCGGCACCCACAGCCAGTGCCGCTCCCTGGACACTCCAGAGGCAGCACCAGAACCGCTCCAGCAGCTGAGACACCCCCGGGTGCACGGTACCGCTCTCCAAACAGCAGACTCCCAGTCAAGATGGTAAAGCTTTTCAGTGTCATCTCAGAGTCACAGCAAAAGAGCACAGGGGAACAATAAACAGGAACAAACTGGACCATTAAGATCTGGAGACCCCGGAAACCCTAAAGCCCGGCCTACAGTGATGAAAGGCAAGCGGAAGAATGGTGAGGGGCTGGCAGAGCACAGAGGAAGGCACCCCGAGGGTGTTCGGGGGCAGAGGAAGACCAGGAGCAGCAAGACTGCTCCCTGGACACGTATGCGGGCAGGAAGCACCAGGCCCCGCAGAAGGAGAAGGTGGAAGATGAGGCTCAAGGGTGGAGTCATTCAGAAAAAAACAAAGAAAGAAGTCTGCCCCTGGGGTCCATGGGAGCTGGCCCCACCTGGCAGTGCCCACCGTCTGGTGGCAGGAGCAGCGGACTGGGGTCCCCCACCAGGAGGCACAGAGGGACGCTCAACTGAAAGCAGAGGTTAATACATTCTCCCTCGTGAACGGGACCCAGGCCTCACTTCTCCAGACCCAGCTTTGGCGTCCTCAGAGTCCTCGACGTCCTCAGCACCCCACAAAGACAGAGGAGGGTCTTCCTCTGGAAAAAGCACAGGCAGCTGCAGGCTACCCACTCACTCTACGGTGAGGTGCACCAACCAACAGTGTCCTCAGAGAGTAAGAAACGTTTAAAACTTAAAAGTAAACACACTCACCAGTAAGACTTGGAAGGTATACTGAGGGACTCTCCCAAAATGCTACAGGAGAGCAAACGTAAGAAAACTAAAGTTCAATCTCCAAAAGTCTAACACCCATCTAACAGTGGTACCAGAATGACAGGAGAACCGAAAAGGTGGTGGTGGTGGGGGGAAACTATTAAGCAACAATGCAAGACAATTTCCAGAACTCGGTGATATGTAACACCAGAATAAGAAAGTCAGAGTGCCCAACAAAACAAAAAGGCACTTATGTTGTGAAGTGCCCACCAGGGTGGGATCGCTCTGTGTCCGGTTTCCTGCACGAAGTCGTGTGTAAATGATCTTTTAATTCTAAGAACTGGCATTCCTCAGCCCTAATAAAAATCAGCTATTCTAAAAAAAAAAAAAAGGTACTTTATTATTAAACCAAAATTAATGTTGTTATAATGTGACACTTTTATAGTAACTACGCTCATAAACTGAGTATTTCCTTTTTCATTTCTGTGACTAAGATGCCATAGAAATACGACTCATTGTAACATACCAGGTCCAGGCAACCTTAGTTTTGCTCCATACAAATGAGACATTCCTTGCAAAATGCGAATAGAAGATTCAACAAAGTTTTAGGGACACGGGAAAGGTGTGAAACTGGAATGACACATCCGCCTGCACAGGCCCTTGTGCCACAGGGCGCACCAGCCATGCACCTGCACCTGCCCTTGCACACGCCTCTCTCCTCCTGGGCGGCCCCGGCACGGGATACCGGGTGGCACCATCCCAGCTCACCCGGAAACACTTCCTCACCAATAGGTCAAGGCCAATGGAAACCCAAACTGACCAAATAAATGCAAAGAGACACAGCACAAGAGACACATTGGAAAAAGTGTCTCGTGTGTCAAGGAGACATTTTTAAAGACCGGAGCCTTTAGCCTTCCTGCATTGCAAGAATCAGGTCTCACGATAAACGCCCTCGGCTTCCTTTCGACTCGCCAAGCGAGGCAACGGATGGAGCTGCATTTCTAGCTCTGGGCACGGTTTTCGCCGTCTGCTTGCCAGAAGGAGACACGTGAGACATCAGATAAGGCTGCAGGATCACTTACACGGAGCCTACCCGGCTCCTCTCCGCCCAGTAACAAAAGAATGTGTCATCTACTTATGCCTCTAATTAGCATGAATGCTACGCAGAGATCAAAAAAAGCTCAACTGCAGAGTTAAAAATAAATACAATTTTTAATGCGGTTCGTCTCGCCAGAAACTTTTCTGAGTCTAATCTCTCTTAGTAGTGTAACCTGGAAGGCAAAGCATCTTGTTGACCAACAAGGTCAGAGAAAACGTGCTGATTAAAATGCAACACGACAAAACTGTACGGATGACAAGCTCCATTAGCCAGGGCCCTCAGAGGCTCTCCCGTTTGACTGCTTTACTCTGAAGCGCCCCACTGCGCGTCCTCTGCACTGGGCTCTGGGGGCTTCCCGGGATGGCTTGCTCCTGTGAAGGGACACTCTCCACAAGCAGCGGTGCCCTGCTGCTGCCTCAGGCGGGGTTTCCCCACAGCTGGTTCCTGGCCCGCTGCTGCTGGTGCTTCTGGGCAAGGCCAGCACGGCAGTGGTGTCCACTGTGGTTCCCAGCTGACAGCCACCCACACTCGCT